AAGTCTTGGTCTTGACTCGGTCTCGCCCTCCCTCGGTCTTGGTCTTATCTTGGTCTCGGCCCCTAAAAGTCTTGGTCTTGACTCGGTCTCACCCTCCCTCAGTCTTGGTCTTGTCTTGGTCTCGGCCCCTAAAAGTCTTGGTCTTGTCTCAGTCTCGATACACTCTGGTTTTGGTCTTGTCTTGGTCTCGGCTCCTAAAATGCTTGGTCTAGACTCGGTCTCGCCCTCCTCGGCCTAAAGTCTTGTCTTGGTCTCGGCCCCTAAAAGTCTTGGTTTTGACTTGGCCTCGCCCTCCTTCGGTCTTGGTCTCGGCCCCTAAAAGTCTTGGTCTTGACTCAGTCTCGATACACTCTGGTCTTGTCTTGGTCTCGACCCCTAAAAGTCTTGGTCTTGACTCGGTCTCGATACACTTTGGTCTTGGTCTTGTCCTGGTCTCGGCCCCAAAAAGTCTTGATCTTGTCTTGGTCTTGATACACTCTGGTCTTGGTCTTGTCTTGGTCTCGGCCCCTAAAAGTCTTGATCTTGACCTTGGTCTCGATACACTCTTGTCTTAGTCTTGTCTTGGTCTCGGCCCCTAAAAGTCTTGGTCTTGACTCGGTCTCGCCCTCCCTCAGTCTTGGTCTTGTCTTGGTCTCAGCCCCTAAAAGTCTTGGTCTTGACTCGGTCTCACCCTCCCTCGGTCTTGGTCTTGTCTTGGTCTCTGCCCCTAAAAGTCTTGGTCTTGACTCGGTCTCGCTCTCCCTCAGTCTTGGTCTTGTCTTGGTCTCAGCCCCTAAAAGTCTTGGTCTTGTCTCAGTCTCGATACACTCTAGTTTTGGTCTTGTCTTGGTCTCAGCCCCTAAAAGTCTTGGTCTTGACTCGGCCTCGCCCTCCTTCGGTCTTGGTCTTGGCCCCTAAAAGTCTTGGTCTTGACTGAGTCTCGATACACTCTGGTCTTGGTCTTGTCTTGGTCTCGGCCCCTAAAAGTTTTGGTCTTGACTCGGTCTCGCCCTCCCTCGGTCTTGCTCTTGTCTTGGTCTCGGCCCTTAAAAGTCTTGGTCTTGACTCGGTCTCACCCTCCCTCGGTCTTGGTCTTGGCCCCTAAAAGTCTTGGTCTTGACTCAGTCTCGCTCTCCCTCGGTCTTGGTCTTTTCTTGGTCTTGGCCCCTAAAAGTCTTGGTCTTGTCTCGGACTCGATACACTCTGGTTTTGGTCTTGTCTTGGTCTCGGCCCCTAAAAGTCTTGGTCTTGATTCGGCCTCGCTCTCCTCCGGTCTTGGTCTCGGCCCCTAAAAGTCTTGGTCCTGACTCAGTCTCGATACACTGTGGTCTTGCCTTGGTCTCGGCCCCTAAAAGTCCTGGTCTTGACTCGGTCTCGATAGACTCTGGTCTTGTCTTGGTCTCGGCCCCTAAAAGTCTTGGTCTTGACTCGGTCTCGATACACTTTGGTCTTGGTCTTGTCCTGGTCTCGGCCCCAAAAAATCTTGATTTTGTCTCGGTCTTGATACACTCTGGTCTTGTTCTTGTCTTGGTCTCGGCCCCTAAAAGTCTTGGTCTTGACTTGGTCTTGATACACTCTGGTCTTGGTCTTGTCTTGGTCTCGGCCCCTAAAAGTCTTGGTCTTGACTCTGTCTCGCCCTCCCCCGGTCTTGGTCTTGTCTTAGTCTCGGCCCCTAAAAGTCTTGGTCTTGACTCTGTCTCGCCCTCCCTCGGTCCGTGTCTTGGTTTTGGTCTTGGCCCCTGAAAGTCTTGGTCTTGACTCAGTCTCGATACACTCAGGTCTTAGTCTTGTCTTGGTCTCAGCTCCTAAAAGTCTTGCTCTTGACTCGGTCTCGATACACTCTGGTCTTGGTCTTGTCTTGGTCTCGGCCCCTAAAAGTCTTGGTCTTGTCATGGTCTCGATTCACTCTGGTCTTGTCTTGGTCTCAGCCCCTAAAAGTCTCTGTCTCGATTCAGTCTCACCCTCCCTCGGTCTCTCTCTTATCTTGGTCTCGGCCCCTAAAAGTCTTGGTCTTGACTCGGTCTCGCCCTCCCTCGGTCTTGGTTTTGGTCTTGGCCCCTAAAAGTCTTGGTCTTGTCTCGGTCTCGATACACTCTGGTCTTGGTCTTGTCTTGGTCTCGGCCCCTAAAAGTCTTTGTCTTGACTCAGTCTCGCCCTCCCTCTGTCTTAGTCTTATCTTGGCCTCTGCCCCTAAAAGTCTTGGTCTTGACTCTGTCTCGCCCTCCCTCGGTCTTGGTCTTGTCTTAGTTTCGGCCCCTAAAAGTCTTGGACTTGACTCGGTCTCGACCTCCCTCAGTCTTGGTCTTGTCTTGGTCTTGGCCCCTAAAAGTCTTGGTCTTGTTTCGGTCTCGATACACTCTGGTCTTGATGTTGTCTTGGTCTCGGGTTAAGTGGTTTTGACTACAACACTACCTAATCCTATCCCTACCTATAAGTTATACCTACCTATAACTTATCCCTAATATCTGAGAGAAATGATAGGTAAAAACACTGATGTAGGAGCACCTAACTCTGGTTGTATGCCTAAACTTCACATAAACTGTAAACTGGTGCCTCAAATCTGATAAGTTTATTGGAATGTTGTTCCAGGATCAACAAAGATGTTGATCCAGGAACATGTTGTACTTCATCCATGCGTGATACTGCCCTTATGAAAATTAACCATGATGGTTTTACTACAAATAATACCAAAAAAAAAACATGGTTATTATAGTTAAACCATGGTAACTACAAATTAAAAATTAACCATGGTTTTACTACACTAACCAATAGACCATTTACAGTTTCGAATGATGTATATCTCTATGACTCTATGACTGTCTCTATGAGTATTTTAAGTTATTTTCACCATTATCAGGAAAAATTATTTTATTTATTTATTTTTCTAGATTTTGAGGAAAGCCGGGCAGCATTTTGCACCTTACAGAATGAGGACGGCTGTCTACTGTCTTTCAGCTTGATGGACAGCGATCACGGCAGCATCATTTACAACCCCAAGCTTTACGGTGAGATTAAAACATTTCATTTTTTAATACATGAACATATACAGCTTAAAGGGATAGTTCACTTTGAAATTCATTTGGTATGTTTTAGCTTACCTCAAGGGCATCCAAGATGCGGGTGTCTTTGTTTCTGCAGTAGTTTTAATTTTGATATTTTTAGGTCAAACCGTTCATGTCTACCGTTCAGTCGTTTAATGGAGGTCTATGGTGACCACCTCAAAGAGCATGCACAGAGAAGTCCAAATTAAACATGATTTAATGACTCGTAAATGTAAGTACACATCGATGGCCTAAGACACGAAACGAGCGGTTTGTGTGAGAAAACGATCAGTATTTATATCGTTTTTACCTCTTGTAACCACAGCCACGTCCAATTGATTTGAGGCCGCGGGTGCTTTGTGGCTGTGGTTACAAGAAGTAAAAACTATAGAAATACTGTTCGTTTTCTCACAAAAACCGCTCGTTTCGTGTCTTAGGCCATCAGTGTGTACTTACATTTACGAGTCATTAAATCATGTTTAATTTGGACTTCTCTGTGCTTGCTCTTTTAGGTGGTGACCATACACTTCCACTATATGACTGACAGACAAGAATGGTTTGACCTAAAAATAATATCAAAATTGAAACTTCTGCAAAAACAAAGACACCTACATCTTGGATGCCCTTGAGGTAAACTAAAACATACCAAAAATTCTTTTGAAGGTGAACTATTCCTTTAACTTATACCCTGTGGCATTATACACAAGAATATAGTTACAATCATAATTTAAAATAATTTCTGTCTATAATTATCCTACAGCCTGCCCTGAACCACCGAACGCACCATTGATCGCTCTGGGCGTGTGCATGTCTGTCCTCGTCGTTGGCATTACACTCCTTGTGATCTGGAAGTTTTTTGTTTCTGTCCATGATCGGAAAGAGGTTGCCAAGTTTGAGGCAGAGAAGGCGAAAGCAAAATGGCAGTCGGTATGATAACATTATCGAGAGTTTTTCCCTATTCCAACATGTTTACTGCAATTTCCATTCATTGTAATGTGTTAATGGCCCAATTTGCTTTTATGTAATGTGCTTTTGTCTATATTTTATTCCCAGGGTACAAATCCTCTTTTCAGGAGCTCGACATCAACATTTAAAAATGTGACTTACAAAAGCACAGGGCAGCAGAAGAGTGATATTTCTTAGGGCTACTGACCAACTTTGTGTGTTGAAACACAGAATGTAGGCTTCTTTACCAGGAGCGAATACTGTTTTTTTTATATATATTTATTTTCTTGTGCTGTACAAGTGGGACATTGTGGTGTGTGTGTGTGCAATTGTGTGCTTGTAAAGTGGGGGCAGGATTGTCAACTACTGGCAGTGAATTTATTTTTAAAAATGTAAATAATTTTGAACAATGTGTTGTGCTGCTAAAGGTGGTAAAGGTACTGTTAAATCTGGGCAACACTGGATCTTCTTGTTTTACATTTAGCATTTCTTGTGGTTGCTGTGTAGCGAAATGTTTTTTTTTATGTAGTGTTTGTGACCATTGTTTGTGATTGGTTAGTCGAGGCTGAGCCTTTTGTAATTAGATGTATTAATTCATGATGATTTTGCAGGATCAAATGTAAAAAAAGTCTGTTTGTACTTGTGTTTTGTAATATATTAGATGGTTTTCCATATTGAGTCTCATTATTTCTCGCTAAATGTATTTATTACAAGGCCAACTTAATGCTGCATTGTGATCCAAAAAGTTAATAAGATATGTATTAAATTTAGTTCAAGCTTATGGCTTTTCACAATACATAATTTTTCAAAACAGCATTCTTAGAAAATGCATGTTTCAATAACTCAGGAAGTATTCACTTATCTATCAGCCAGAGATTAGTGTGTCAATGTAATAGCCTATTATTTCTGAATTTGTAATTCATGTGTGAATGCAATTATGATGACGAATAGTAGGCCTAATGTAATCAAGCCACTTCAGATGAAGCCTCTGTGCCACATTTTAAAGTGCAGTGATTTAAAACAAATTTTTACATTTAATTGAATATGTAATATACAGTAGCCTAAGTGTAGCTACTTAGGTTAATATCTTGCTACATGTTCGATTTCAAGAGAAACACTGCACGCGAGTGAGGCGACTCGACGGGCATAAAACGTTTATAATCTGGTCGCGTCGCGTTCAGAGCAGACGGGCTGTAAGAAGAGAGAGAAATTTTGCCTTTTATTGCCCCATAGAGAGACCAGTGACGTAAAGAACCTAAAAACTTGCGGAAAGTGTGGAGAAAAACAGGCTGCAGTCTATGCGGCGCGCGGAACCCCAGTGGAAATGCAAGGATACACTCAGACTCTTCGTATTCGCTTCCATGAAGCGCTTTATGTCCTTTATATACTGCTTTATGTCAAATTCGCTTGTGCTGCTGCGGAAGCGTCGAACATAACTGAAGTTTGGAACAAAACTCAGCTTTTCGAGCTGTACAGTAAGTGGAATCGGCCTGCGCGACATATCTGTGACATTACTTACTTAAACGATACTTTGCGCGATGGCATGAGCGCGTGGGTTTGGTCAGGATCAAGAGTTTATCGTGTAGCCTAGAGTGTGTGATGTACTCAGCAAATTACATTAGTATGTAGCGCATAGTCCAGCTCTTCTCTGTGAAAGACTGACTGTACTGTGTCATTCCTCGTTTGAGATACCTGCACAGATTATTGTTTCAGTCTCAAGCGGAAGATTATACAAAATATGTTTAGTAATGTGTTCTTATGACTTGCACAACTGCTGCCCATTTAACTTGTTTTAGTGAAAGTTAACTGCACACAAACAAACCGATAGGCGGCTGTTCATCACATGATACAACAGAGACAGTTTACACAAACTGCACACTCAACATTTTTTAAATAAAACTAAGGATTTTTTTGTTTGTTTTTTGAGTGTCTTTTTCCAAAAAAATAAATTTTATTGAACACACGTTGACCTTTGTGACGACCGTATAGCAAACAGTTGGCTATGTTTCGCAATTCAAATTGACATTCTACAAAACTGTAAAAGGAAACAACATACAGAGATATACAATCATTAAATCGGCCAACAGATTTTATTGTTTAATTAAAAACGTGACAACTTGCCCTAGTATTCATTGACATATAGGCTACCCATTTGTTAAGAAGACAGTTCAACTTTTCAATTATAATCTACATGTTGACTTTTTGCTATAGTGTAGTTTGATAATTTAACATACAAAACCACTGCTAGAAAAAAAAACAACTTTTTAAAATGTAATAAAAAATAGATCAATAAATTTAAAAAAAATATACATAATCTATCTATCTATCTATCTATCTATCTATCTATCTATCTATCTATCTATCTATCTATATTTGTCTGTCTGTCATATAGACAAATAGAAGCTAGATTAAATTTTTTCTTTGCTTTACAAGTATACAAAACATACATGTTTTGTATTTCGGCATATTTCCCCAGTAAAGCCCAAAATTAACCCTTTGATGCGCAAGCTATGGATACCCCTTCTAATGCGCAACATGGGTCTAAAAAGACCCGTATTCATTTCCTATGGTATTTCAGTGATGGCTGAGTGTTTTCTTTGCTGAATCTTTAAACTATATGTATTTTATCATTTGTTATTCCAGGTCTTCATTAAATATCTTGTTTTTGATATCCACAAATCATTGTGTTTATGTTTCCTTTCTTACTTTATAAACAAACACAGTTTTTGTATTTCTACATCAATTTTACACATGGGTCTAAAAAGACCCGTATTCATGTCCTATGTTATTTAATGCATGGCTGGACTTTTCTTTTCTTTTTATCTTTTGAGATCAATTTATTTAAGCATTTAATATTCCATTATCTATAAATTTCATGATTTATACATATTAAAAAAATATTGTTTTCAATTACCAAAAATATTTTTTTTCATTTGTTTCTAGGTTTTGTGTTACTATATCAAATGTACTTATCAAGCATACACTCTAAAAAATGCTGGGTCGTTTTAACCCAATGTTGGGTCAAATATGGACAAACCCGAAATGTTGGGTTAAAAATGTAATGTAAAAATTTAACCCAACGGCTGGGTTAGTCCATATTTGACCCAAAGTTGGGTTAAAACAACCCAGCATTTTTTAGAGTGTAATAAAACAAAAGAATAAAGACAACGTTTTGTTAAATTGATAATCTTAGAAGTAATTTTAACAACATATTTAACACTTGAAATGTTTATTTGCCACTTTGTCTCGCATAGCATTCACATATCACAGATAACTGATAACTGATAACACTGACATTGAACTGTGGTGTAGTGTAACTGTATTGAATTGTGGTGAATGTGATCAAATAAAAAAAAACAGAAAAAATAAAATCACACTGGTACAGCAGCATCTCAAATTGCCATCTTAGTGCTTACATGCCTCACAAATGACAACTACATGTTTGTGCTCCTTGCACACAGGCCTGGTGCTCTGGGAACACCAGTTGCTGACTTTTCTGTCTTTGGCAGCTGGGCATCATTTCAATCATAGAATGATTTCAGTATAAGAATCATTTCAGCATATGAGTGATTATGAACTGTTAGGCCTAAATGTAAATAAGCTTTAAAAAACAATCTTTTTTTGTGTAGTTAACATTAGCTAGCTAGAATATGTCAACAGCTGGCTAGCTAATAGTATTGGACATGTTTCTCCTTCTCACTAGGATTTCTCACTAGGATTACAAGGTCAAGGTAACCATAGCCTAATATTGAGATATTATGTTGTTATATTTTACAATATATATATATATATATATATATATATATATATATATATATATATATATATATATATATATATATATATAAAATGTATGTGGTTAAAATAAATTAAGATTAATAAAAAATTTTGACCCATGTATGTAAAATTGATGAGGAAATAAATTAAAAAAACCTAACATAATGATTTGTGGAAATTAAAAACAAGATATTTAATGAATACCTGGAATAAGAAATGATTAAAAAAAACATATTTTAAATTAAAGATTCAGCAAAGAAACACTCAGCCATCACTGAAATAACATTTCATGAAAACTCAGTCTGAAATAACATTTCAATGAATATGGGTCATTTTAGACCCATGTATGTAAAATTGATGTATAAATACAAAAACTGTGTTTGTTTATAAAGTAAGAAAGGAAACATAAACATAATGAGTTGTGTAAATCAAAAACAAGATATTTAATGAAGACCTGGAAAAAGAAATGATAAAAAAAAACATATATTTTAAAGATTCAGCAAAGAAACACTCAGCCATCACTGAAATACCATAGGAAATGAATACGGGTCTTTTTAGACCCATGTATGTAAAATTGATGTAGAAATACAAAAACTGTGTTTGTTTATAAAGTAAGAAAGGAAACATAAACATAATGAGTTGTGTAAATCAAAAACAAGATATTTAATGAAGACCTGGAAAAAGAAATGATAAAAAAAAACATATATTTTAAAGATTCAGCAAAGAAACACTCAGCCATCACTGAAATACCATAGGAAATGAATACGGGTCTTTTTAGACCCATGTATGTAAAATTGATGTAGAAATACAAAAACTGTGTTTGTTTATAAAGTAAGAAAGGAAACATAAACCCAATGATTTGTGGAAATCAAAAACAAGATATTTAATGAATATCTGGAATAAGAAATTATAAAATACATATATTTTAAAGATTCAGCAAAGAAAACACTCAGCCATCACTGAAATACCATAGGAAATGAATACGGGTCTTTTTAGACCCATGTTGCGCATTAGAAGGGTTGCTATAAAAAAACTATTTTTATTCAAAAAGTAAGAAATGAAAAATAAAAATAAGGATTTGTGATGATCAAAAACAAGTTAATTGAGGAATACCTGGAATACTGAGTGATGAAATTAATTTCTTGCAAAGATATAGAAAATGAAAACTCAGTCGGGTCTATTTAGACCCATGTTGTGCATCAAAGGGTTAAGCAAATCTTGTGGATAATACACAGTACAGTGCAATACTGCATGACTTCTCCCTCTAATAAACGGAATGTCACACGTATGACCCCTGCTGAAAGACACAGTGGGTTTCTGAAGTTTGTCCAACAGCCTGATTCGTTACAGTCCCAGTGCATTTACATTTACATTCATGTGTTTGGCAGATGCTTTAATCCAAAGTGACTAGCATTGCATTCCAGGTATACATTTACTTGGGAACCAGTGCTGTTGTGAGTCACCCCTCTTGTTATAAACAGGGTCAGCTGAGGTTAGCAGCACATGTATAAACACACACCTACATGCTCGCTCACTCAGACCGGCAACAACACGCTCGAAATAACCCATTTGGGTCTTGCAGTTCCAGAGTTTTATGATCTCACATAGCAAATAATGATTCTGTCACTGAGATATTTGGAGTCATGGAACACTTTCAGTTCTGGTAACCTACCTACAATTTAGTTAAAGTAGGACACTTTCACACAAAAATGAGCCTCTTATGTGTCTGTTGAACTCAAAAGAAGATATAAGAACGTTCCACTGTTTTTGTTCATAGAATGAATGTCAATGGGGCCCAAAACAATACAGGACCCCACACTCTTATTGTATGGACAAAAAAAGTTATGGTTCAAAATAAAATTGAAGAAAAAAAAAAGGTAAATATAACTTATTTGTCACCTTAAACTTAAAGTATTGCAGGAAAGGGCATTCAATTTTACAGTAAAGATGAAATTAAAGGGATAGTTCACTTTGAAATTCATTTTTGATATGTTTTAGCTTACCTCAAGGACATCCAAGATGTAGGTGTCTTTGTTTCCGCAGAAGTTTCAATTTTGATATTTTTAGGTCAAACCGTTCTTGTCTGTCAGTCATATAATGGTGGTCTATGGGGTCCACCTCAAAGAGCATGCACAGAGAAGTCCAAATTAAACATGATTTAATGACTCGTAAATGTAAAAACCCATTAATGGCCTAAGACACGAAACGAGTGGTTTGTGTCAGAAAATGAACAGCATTTATATTGTTTTTACCTCTTGTAACCACAGCCACGTCCAAGTGATCTGAGGGCGTGGACACTTTGGTCTGCGCAAGCGCTGGAAGTGATATCCTGTGCTTGTATGTCACTCATTGTTTACACAGAGATTTCAGAAGCGTTACCTTTCACTGTGAAGATCTAAACATATTTAGATATACAGGAAATCGCAATAGAAGACGACTTCCGGCGCTTTCCAGCGCTTACGTGGCTGTGGTTACAAGCGGTAAAAACAATATAAATACTGTTCGTTTTCTCACACAAAACGCTCGTTTCGTGTCTGAGGCAATAAATGTGTACTTACATTTGCGAGTCATTAAATCATGTTTAATTTGGACTTCTCTGTGCATGCTCTTTGAGGTGGACCCCATACACCTCCATTATATGACTGACAGGCCATAACGGTTTGACCTAAAAATATCAAAATTGAAAATACTGTGGAAACAAAGACACCTGCATCTTGGATGCCCTTGAGGTAAGCTAAAACATATCAAAAATAAATTTCAAAGTTTACTATCCCTTTAAGCTCTGTGAATCTAACCTTTTCCATTTTACTGTAAAAACATGTAAAGTGTTGTGTGAAGGACTAAGCCATTTTAGTAACATATTTTAAAACATTGCAGATGAAAAAAAAAACAATATTGTTCCCATTCTCAACACAACCTAAATGAAAATACCACCACCAGACAAGAAAATCCTTTACTTCCTATATCCTCTCTGACTCAGACATATGGCGAAAGATAATGCGTAACTTCCCTTTGAAGTTTTAGAATACTCTGTGTGTGTTCGACTGTTTGAGAATATCTTTGTCTTTGGCCTGTATCTTCAATTACTCTTTCGTGTCAACGCCCACAAAAGACCCTCAGCCCTGACGACTCTGAGAACTCTGAAATATTAAGCCCCATTTTGTGGAGGTGAAACTGGAGAGAGCAGCTCTATCTTTCTATCTGTTCGCTGCATAATCAGACCTGTCTGATACCTCAGTGCCTCTGAAAGGCTTAGAATCTCCAATATCACTTGCCTTTATAATCTAACATGGCCCTGCATGTAAATGGCTATACAATACCCCTAAAGAAAGGCTTTTCCCACTGGTCAAAATCCCCTACGGCCTCACCTCTCCCCAATGTATTCGATACGACAAGAAAATATGCTTTAGCTTGACCTATTCGAAAGCTTCCATATTCTATGTCTGTGTTTGTGTGATTCAGGTAAAGGAGTTTTCCAGTTGGAAAGTGTATCGCAGGAGGGTTGCCTCTCAGCAGACTCGTCCGGTCTATCTCTGGCCAGCTGTGACCCCCCGTCTGCCGCCCTGCTTTGGAAATGGGTGTCCCGGCACCGTCTCTACAATCTGGGCACCAATCGATGTCTAGGGATCAACGCGACCAAGCAGCAGCCTGTCGTTGGCATCTACGAGTGTGATGTTTCCCTCACAACCATGTGGTGGCGCTGTGGCGGCAGCATGTTGTACGGAGCGATGAATAATAAGCTAGCGGTGGTGGACTCAAAAGTGGTGGTTAAGAAAGCCGTTCTGCAACAGTGGAGGATTTATGGGGCGGCTGGTGAAGGGCCGTGCGCTTACCCGTACGAAGGCAAGATGTCTTTTCAGACACTTTTTTTTTCAAACTAGGATCATTGACAAATAGTAGTGTCCACAATAAAGCAAAAGTAAAAAATCTAGTTTAAAGGCGCGTTCACACCTCGAATTATAACTATAACGATAACTATGTTAGCGTCCACACCTACACCAAAAACACACATGTGGTCCTTGTTGATTTCATATGGTTCTGAAAAGCCATTTTCACGAACAGTTTCAGATTATTGAGTTCGTGGAACCATAAAGTGAAAAGTAATAACATAGTTTTCTTACGTTTTGAGTACACGTGAGTGTGCACGTGCATTTAAAAAAAAAAAAAAAATGAATTATTTATACTCAAATCATGGCATTTTAAAATCTGAACTAACTTTGCATTGCAAAAACAAACACACTAAAAAAGTTTATTTGATATTTTTAGGGACCTTGAGTCCTTGACAAAAAGCCATGATGGTCATCAGGGTCAATTCCTACTGTATATGTGTCTTTTTCTGCATGGTTTTGCATGTTGGTTGCACCACATGACTTTGATTTGGCAGAACTTAAAGGTATAGTTCACCCAAAAATGAAAATTCTGTCAGTAATTACTCACCCTCATGTTGTTCCAACCCAGTAAGACCTTCGTTCATCTTTTTAAGAACACAAATTAAGATATTTTTGATGAAATCTGAGAGTTGGATCACTCCTTCATACTAGTCCATAGGCTTCTTGAGGGATTGAAACTTGCCGTCCTCGAAAAGTTATTAAAAACATCGTTAAAATAGTCCAAGTGACTTCAGTGGCTCAATCTTAACTTTATCAAGCGACGAGAAAACTTTTTGTGCGCAAAAACAAACAAAAATAACGACTTTATTTCAACTATTCACTTCCTTCTCCATGGGCCTCTAGTCAGTTAACGTAGTGTGATAGCATAGAGCTACGTCACACGTAGGCTTGCTATTGGCCGATGCTGGTCATGTGTGTGATGCGTGTGACGTCCAATAACAGAAGCTTACGTTATTAAACTAGTAACCTGACTCGAGGCAGAGAGAGAAGTAAATGAATAGTTGAAATAAAGTCGTTATTTTTGTTGTTTTTTGCACACAAAATTTTTCTTTTTTTTTTTTTAAGATTGAACCACTGAAGTCACTTGGACTATTTTAACAATGTCTTTAATAACTTTTCGAGGCCAGCAAGTTTCAATCCCTCAAGAAGCCTATGGACTAGTATGGAGGAGTGATTCAGCGCTCAGATTTCATCAAAAATATCTTAATTTGTGTTCCGAAGGTGAACGAAGGTCTTACGGGGTTGGAACAACATGAGGGTGAGTAAATACTGACAGAATTTTCATTTTTGGGTGAACTAACCCTTTAAGCTAAACTGATGTCATCCCGCTCTCTAGATATCTGTATCAACGCTAAACTGATGCCCTGATTTAGGTTGACCACTATCAAACTAGTGCATTCGGTGGCTCGTTTGATGAGGTTTATTTGATGTGGCCGGAGTCAGACAGATTCTACGTGTTCTGTAACTGTTGTTCTCTTGATATTGGCAGACATCCACACACTACAGGGAAACTCCCATGGCATGACCTGCTCCATACCCTTCAAATACAACAATAAATGGTTCTGGGATTGTACGTCTGAGGGCAGAGAGGACCGTCACCTCTGGTGTGCCACAACAAACCACTATGATCAAGATGAGAAATGGGGCTTTTGCCCCAATTCAGGTAAAACCATATACTAATTCATTTAAATATTATTTTTGTCCCCCTTTTTGTACACGTACTATTCAAAAGCTTGTGGTTATTATACGTTTAAAAGGTATTTTTTTAAAGGAATTGAATATTTCTATTCTTTTAAATTGATAGAAAGTGACAGTAAGGACATTTATAATGTTACAAAAGATTTTTATCATGCTAGTTTTTCACAAGGATATTCAGCAGAACAGCCGTTTTTACCATTGATAATACAAATAAATGATTCTTGAGCACCAAATCAACATCTTAGAATGATTTCTGAAGGGCCATGTGGCACTGAAAACTGGAGTAATGATGAATTAACCATCACAGGAATAAATTCTATTTTTGAATTATTTTTAATTGTAACAATGTTCTACAATATTACAGTTTTACTTAATTTTGATCAAATAAATGCAGCTTTGTTGAGACTTCTTTCAAAAATGTTCCTGAATGGTAGTGTGTTTTGAATTCATACTAACTATAAGGAACCAAATCAAGCTTATCCATGTGTGTTTTCTTCAGTGTCAGGCTGCAATGAATTCTGGGAGAGCCATCCGGGGCTGAACGCCTGTTACCAGTTTAACTTGTACTCCATCCTCACCTGGAGTCAAGCTCTTACTTCCTGCCAAGCACAGGGTGGGAGTCTTCTGTCCATCACACAGTCCAGTGAACAGAGCTATATCCGAGGTATACACAAGCTCAAATGTTTGCACATTCAGATTATTTTGACATCATTTATTTGTGTTTCTTTGCTGACATGCATTGGTTTATGCTGACTGCTGGATAACTAACAGCCATTGTGTTTGCCTATGGTCTATGAGCATGGCCTGTCTGGTGAAGCTAGTTTAAGAAAGTCATGCTAGTTTAGCTAGTTAAAGGATACATTCTTACAAATGAACACTTTGGTCATCATTTACTCACCACCTTGTCTTTCTAACCTTGTTTTTAGGGCTGTCAAATGATTAATCACGTGATTAATCGCATCCAAAATAAAAGTTTGTGTTTACATAATATATGTGTGTAATTATATATATATATATATATATACAGATTCATGTTTATTTAAGAAAAAATATTATTTATATATAAAATATTTATATTTATATATAATATAAATTATATATAAATCTATATACAGTATATATATGAAAATATTTCTTAAATATATACAAGCATGTCTGTGTGTTCATATATATATATATATATAATAATAATAATTATACAAAGTGCACCGACATATATTATGTAAACACAAACTTTTATTTTGGATGCGATTAATCACGATTAATCGTTTGACAGCCCTACTTGTTTTATTGTTTTTCTTATGATACACAAAAAAAGATCTTTTTTCCATTGAAGTACACTATCAGTTAAAAGTTTGGAATAATTAAGACTTTATTTGCTTTGGTCACATGCTACATTTATTTGAAGAAAAAATCAGTAAAAAACAGTAATAATGTGACATTATTTCAGTTTAAAATAAATATTTTCTATTTGAATGCTTTTTAAAATGTAATTTATTTATTTAAGCATTTCCTATTATTATTAATATTGAAAACAGCATCACTGCTTTATTATTTGTGGAAAAAGTTTGGTGTAAAAAAGATTTTTTAAACGTGAAAAGAAATACTTTTACTTAGCAAGGACACTTTAAATTGACCAAAAGTTACAGTAAGATTTATTATATTACAAAAGAAATGTTTATATTCATCAAGTATTGTGGGGGGAAAGTATCACTGTTTCCTTGTTTTAAACACTGAAAATAATATTAGAGTGATTTCTGAATGATCATGTGACACTGATGATGCTGAAAATTCAGCTTTGCATCACAGGAATAAATGACATTTTAAAATACATTAAAATAGAAAACAATGATTTAAAATGTTCATAATATTTCACAATATTACTAATATTGCCATATTTAAATAACAATAAAAAAGAGATACATATGCAGGATGTTCATTATATCACACAATGGAGGAAAACAATAAGAGGCAAACAAATTTCAAATATAGTACATCACATTTACCACATGTAATAAATGTAGCCATGGTGAGCATACGAAACTTCTTTTGAAAATATCTAAATTATTCCAATTATTACTATTATTTATTATTAATTATTCCAAACCTTTGACCTGTGGTGTATGTGGCTAGATATACTGTCTTGCTCCAAAAAGCCTCGACACCTTTAATGCTGCTTTTGCTTGTTTTGTTGCAGCTTAGCACTATAAATTTCCATCCACTATGTGCTCAAACATTCTTCCTAACATGCAGACTGTGTTTCATGGAAGTGTTTCATTGATTCATCATTGTTGTTCCACCAGAAAGACTCTCAGATATGGGTGTGATGGTCTGGATTGGATTAAACCATCTCAGTCAACATGGTGGATGGCAATGGTCTGATGGATCGCCCTTGGCTCTTGTCAATCATACCTCAGGTATAACTGGCTTATGTTTTTAAATAGAATTGTTCTCCATGGGCAATGTTGATTATGAAATGCCCTATTCGCTGTTGATCCATCTGTCCAGATCTGACCTCCATGCCAGTGCTGGAGAACCAGCAGTGTGGGGTGTTTAACTCCACGCAGGGTTCCTGGCAGAGTATGTCCTGTGAGTCAGCCTTGCCTTACATCTGCAAGAAAACCTCCAACTACAGCCGGAATGCCGAGCCGCTTGGTAAAGAGATGAGTTATCTGACTGCTTATTCATCCTTCCTTTCATTAATCCAGCTTTTTTGTCCGTCCATCCATTTGTTTCTAATAGCCTTTTGTCTTTCCCTCTAATGTCTGACTTTTCCCAGACTCACCATCGACATGGTTTTCTCAAGTTCTGTCTAGTTTAAGCTTCAGCCCTCAGCATGCAACAACCATTATTACGTAAAACGTGTGTCATTTTCCAGATAGTCCAGTGACTATTGTTTCCAGGATTTTCAGCATTGATTGTGATTGGTTAGAAGAGAAGAATGTGGTTGTGTCCTGAGATTTGTTCAAAGGCACAACAGCTGTGGCTCATCTAGAGTCTGAACTACTGCCCCTAGCTATCAAACACACACAAACACACACATTCTCACAGTGTGTGTAAATATAGAAACGGTCGGGGTCATACAAATCAAAAATCCTTTCCTTACAAGGGTTGGCTTGATACCAAAACTTTATATATACTTCCAGTATATTATATAAATTAGTAGTATTTCTGAAGGCAGTTGTTTTTGAAAGATTATGCACTATACAATGTTGTGATGTTATTTCCATCAAGAGGTGCATCAATTTTCGGTCAAGATCTTGTATTTACAATGCAAGAATCAAGCACTCTGTAAAGTCTCCTCCTCCACATCCTAAAGACTTTCAATGAATTTAAGGTCTGGTCTCAGATGAGCCTATACATGTTCGAAAATGATTTATCATGCTCCCTCCCAACCATTTTTTCACAATTTGAGCCTGATGAATCTTGACGTTGTCATCCTGGTATATGGCCATGATGTGTCTTCCTACATGGTTGTTTATGAAATGAAAAGCTACACAATTCATCAATTAGGGTTAGAAAAACTTGCCAGGCAGTGTATATATATATATATATATACAAAAAATATTCAATGATTTAACACTTTTAGGATCACTATTTCTTGAAGAACGATATCTTGTATAATTGCACTAGGGCTGTCAAACGATTAATCGCGATTAATCGCATCCAAAATAAAAGTTTGTGTTAACATAATATATGTGGGTGCACTGTGTATAATTATTTTATATATATAAATACAAACACATGCTTGTATATTTAAGAAATATTTTCATATATATACTGTATATAGATTTATACATAATTTATATTATATATAAATATAAATATTTTATATGTAAACAATATTTTTTCTTAAATATACATGCATGTGTGTGTATTTATATATACTGTATATACAAAATATTTATACACAGCGCACCCACATATATTATGTAAACACAAACTTTTATTTTGGATGCGATTAATTGCGATTAATCGTTTGACAGCCCTAAATTGTATTAAGTAAGGACTTTTATTCAAACACTTTTTCATTAATTTAGGCATCACATAAATGTATTGATTTTGGAAAAAAATCTATAAAAGGTTTCTACAAAAAAAGCAGCACAACGGTTTTCAACATTGATAATCAAATAAGAAATGTTTCAAATCAGCATATTAGAATGATTTGTGTAGGATCATGTGACTGAAGACTAGTAATGGCGGCTGAAAATTCAGCTTTGCCATCATAGGAATACAATTGGAATTTTTTTTTACAATTGAGCAATTTTTTGTTTTTACTATATTTCTAATCACATTAATGCAGCCTCAGTTAGCTTAGGAGACTTTGTACAAAATCATCTTTCCAACCCCAACTTTGTCTGTTTGTCTTCAAGATAACTGGCAATATAAGGAGACGATTTGTCCTGACGGTTGGTTGGACCACAATGGGTTTTGTTACCGGTACCTGAAGAAGAATTCGAGCTGGGACGGCTCTTCAAGCGCGTGCAAGTCTCTTGAGGCGGAGCTGGTCAGCGTCCACTCCCTCTCCCAACAGGAACTGCTGCTGAAACTTCTCTCGAATGGTTGGCTGGATGTTTTTTCCCTTTATACTGTAATTTTTTTAAAGTTACAGTGATCACAACATGTTACTGGTTGTGTCAGGATCCAACTCTAAGGTGTGGATCGGCTTGCACAAGGAGGCTAAACTTCCAGCAGTCCAATGGTCAGACAACTCTCCTGTCACATTCACATCCTGGTCCTCTCAGGAGCCTTCCCATCATCATGGCGACAAGCGCATCTGTGTTACAGCGGACTGGAAGGTGAGTTCAGAGGTCAGAGATCAGATTAATGTCACAAGACATTAGTCATAAACTGAGTACACAGTATGTGGTCATAAAAGAAGCACGTGTCCAGAATCACCCCATAAATCATACAGCAACTGTGTGTTAGATGAAGAACGATGGGATCTGATTTCAGAGACAGTCACTGCATGGAAACGTTCTCCTGGGTGATCAGATGCACAGTCACCAGTTAGTCACAGTAGTAAACCAGCAGGTCAAGTGACAGATCTGGTTGTTCTGAATTTTCTTCTGTGCTTGATGAAAGACTCATTGTGTGTGTGTGTGTGTTTTAGGAAGGCAGATGGCAGTTTGCGGAGTGTGAAGAGCAGCATGCCGCAATCTGTAAGGCGTCAGGTCTTGTGCCTCAGCATCCTGCTGGTGAATGGGATGAAGGATGTCCAGAGGTGAGAATGTAACATAACAGACACACACACACACACACACATTGTTACAGTTTGGTGAGGAGACACAAAATTACAAACCTGAGGGCAGTGATATTGAATGAAAATAGGAAAGTAACAAAATAAATCAATATAAAATTTATAAAATCATTTATGCTTATGTTTTGCTAGCCAATACACCAGCTGTATGATTTTCATGTGTCTGGTATTTTTTGCAAGCTGTTTAGAATCAGAACTTTTGATGTCTATCGGTGTTGTTATTGTTACCTACAACAAGAAATGTTGGTAATTAAAATAAAGCGGAAATAAAATAAAATAAATAAATATTACGTGAAACATTTAAAGGAAATGTTGCCTCGGCAAGTAATTGAAATAAAAAAAGTTTAAGTTGAATTTCTAAAATTAAAAACTAAGCTGAAATTAAAATAAATTAAAACTATATATATATATAAACTAATAAAAAATAGATATAGTGTAAAGTACAACTAATGGAAATATAAAAGCTCAATTGTTAGCTGTAATATATATATATATATATATATATATATTAGGGCTGTGCAAAAATTAATTGCGATTAATCGCATCCAAAATAAAAGTCTGTGTTTACATAATATATTTGCGTGTGCTGTATATAATTATTTTGTATATATAAATACACACACATGTATGTATATATTTAAGAAAATGTATTATTCGTATATAAAATATTTATATTTATATAATATAGATTATGTATTTATATACATATACAGAATTTAAGCACAAATATTTCTTATATATATACATGCATGCATAGGTATTTATATATACAAAATAATTATATACAGCACACACAAATACTGTATATTATGTAAACACAGACCTTTATTTTGGATGCGATTAATCGCAATTAATTTTTGCACAGCCCTAATATATATAATATATAAATTAGGGCTGTCAAACGATTAATCATGAATAATCACATCCAAAATAAAAGTTTGTGTTTACATAATATATGTGGGTGCACTGTGTATAACTATTTTGTATATATATATATATATATATATATATATATATATATAAATACACACACATGCATGTATATTTAAGAAAAAAATATTATTTATATATAAAATATTTATATTTATATATAATATAAATTATATATAAATCTATATACAGTATATACATAAAATATTTCTTAAATATATACAAGCTTGTGTGTGTATTTATATATAAAATAATTATACACACTGCACCCACATATATTATGTAAATACAAACTTTTATTTTGGATGCGATTATTCGCGATTAATCGTTTGACAGCCCTAATATAAATACAAATATTGATAAATACTATAATGGTATGCTAAATGCCTGTACTGATAATACTCAAATAAAACTGTGTCAATTCACAAATGATAACATTTTTGAGTCAGTCCTTTTCAGTTTGGGATTGAATCACAATATACAGGTTACTGTAAATATCCTGAATTGGTTATTGATTTGTTCTGAATCATTCAAACAATTGATTTTATAAAGAGAGAAAGAGTACTTCCGGAGTAGTTTGCTCAACAGTGTCTGCAGGTGTATTTGCCACCTATTATTCATATTTTGCTGATCTTGTTTTTTGCTTGATTAATTGATAAAGCGACCTGACTATGTAGAATAAAGTAGATTTTTCTTGGTCACTAATATAATTGAATGTAATATTTCATAATAAAAGCACAGCAAGTGTCCAGAACAGTCATACACACACATTTACCATGTCATTCCAAATAGATTGCGTGAGAAACATAAATAAAATGCAGTGGAGGTCCTAACAAAAAAAAAAAAAACCTCCAATACCGAACTGCTTTTTCCCTTCAATCTAATCACCAGCACTCTCATTCCATCTGTTTTCCTGCATTTCTGATTGGTTGTGCTTGAGATGTGCTTTGAGAGGGCAGACAGGCTGTGTGTCTAGAGGACGGAGCGGCCGTCAGCGAAGGTTAGACCGGGTCACGGCCAGAGAACAACAGACTGATTCAGATCTGCTCTGTCGCTCCGCTTCTGCTTTTGCTGGCTATGAAACAAGACGGCTATGTGACGGATATGGCCAAACAGAGAAAGGGCACTTTTCAGAGATGCACACGTGCTAGTGAACGCTCATGTGTCACACCCACACTTACTCATCTTGTTCTGTATGTGAAGAACAACCATTTATCTGTACTCTACTGAAATGGTTTTGTATTCTTCCAAAGGCAAAAGAGTGTAAAATTACGAAAAACACGTTCCCCTTCATAATCGGTTTTAACCTCAAATCTTGATCTTGAATAAAAAGGTGCAAAGTTCAGCATCAGCTACTCGACTGTGTATGTTTGTAGCTGTTAAAATCCTCGTTTCAATTTGAAGGTCACTGAATTGAGGCCATTGGACTCAGGGTTAATGGAGAACAGGTGTGAAAACACAGCCAGATGCCACTGAAGCTAATGCTGCATACCAAATTACCTGAGTCTACTATGAACTATGCACTATTTATAGTATAAGTAGTATTATATATACCAAATTTTCTCTCAAAAAGTCAGCTTGCACGAGCGCAAACCCTAAAGGCATAAAAACCTACTGTGATTATTTACTATATGCAGTGAAAAGTCATCGACATAGTTATTTTTGTGACTGACCTTATGGCAAACTCATTTGTTGAAGTTTTCCTTTCAGACGCAACATTAGTTGGAGGAGAGTAACAAAAAGCATGTCTTAAACCTTTTTGCGCTGTTCTTTAATTTGCACATTGTTAGTTTGTACTTATACTTTGTAGTCCACACTACATATGACACATGAATCCTATGCCTACACACTACAAACCATAACAATCAGGTTTTGTGAGGAAAATCTCTTTTACATTCACAAATATCTCAGCATGTTAATTTTACAGTGTTCTTTCAATTCTTCATTTTATATGATTAATATATCTGTATATCATTTAAAGGCCTTGCTGAATCTATTTAAAGTTTGCTTATTTGGTGCATGTGCAGGACTGGAGAAGGAAGGACAACTGGTGTTATATGATCACAGATCAGGAGCAGACGTTTGAGGATGCAGTGAAAGGATATTACTGCAAATCTCTTGTTACTGTAGAAAGCAGGTATGTAGAAAACATCTGGATGGAATTTAGTTGGTTTTAAACAGAATAAGCGGTAACTGAACGGTGGCAAATTAGTACAATTTAGTCAATTAAACAACTAACGCATACGTTACTTTAGGTAAATAAGTGCATTAAATAAAACATGACATATGAAATTACCTAGAATGTCTATTTTATTCTGAACAAAATCACTTTGTATTTAGTATTTTGAGGAAAAGTAAGGGATGTGTCATTTTTATTTTATTTCAAGTCTCTAATGCTCACTAAGGCTGCATTTATTTAATAAAAAAATACAGTAAAAACGAAGATTATATTATATTTTATTTATTATTATTTATATTATTTTTATATTATTTAAATTTAAATTTAAAATTTTAATTCCTGTGATTTTTTTTTAGCGGTCTTCAGTGTCACATAATACTTCAGAAATCGTTCTAATATGCTGATTTGCTGCTCAACAAACTTTTATTATATTAAATGTTATAAACAGTTGTGCTGCTTTATATATTTTTGGGGAAACCACTATAATTGTTTTTTTAGGATCCTTTGATGAACATTATATTCAAAATAATTGATTTGAACTAGAAATATCGGTAACAATTTAGGGTTCAATTCTTACTAGTTGCTTATCATCATGTATATTACTAGGATATTGGCTGTTTATTAGTAAGATACTTATAAAGAACATATTAATGCCTTATTCTGCATGACCAAATTCTACATCATGTGTGACCTCAATCCTACCTAATACCGAAACTTATCAACTTCCTTACTAACTGTTAATAAGCAGTAATTAGGAGTTTGTTAAGTCAAAAGTTGTAGTTAATAGGGAGAATTGGACCCTAATCTAAAGTGTTACTCTATAAATATCTGTCACTTTTGACAATTTAATGCATCACTGATGAATAAATGGATTAAAGGAGTAGTTCACTTTAAAAAAAATTTGCTGATAATTTACTCCCATGTCATCCAAGATGTACACGTCTTTCTTTCTCCAGTCTTAAAGAAATTAAGGTTTTTGATGAAAACATTCTAGGATTTTTCTCCATTTAATGGACTTCATTAGGAACCAAACGGTTCAAGGTCCAAATGAGAGTTTCAGTGCAGCTTCAAAGGGCTTTAAACGACACCAGACGACGAATAAGGGTCTTATCGAGTCATGACTTGAAAAAAGATTTGTTCATTTTGATGAACGAGTTCGAACAGGAGAGTCACAAACGCTCATCACAGAACAGAGCAAGGCGAGCATTTGGGCTTATAAAACTTAAAATTTAAAAAAAAAAATTTTTAAATGACCAATCATTTTGCTTGATAAGACCCTTATTCATCGTCTGTTGTCGTTTAAAGCCCTTTGAAGCTGCACTGAAACGGTCTTTTGGACCTTGAACCGTTTGGTTCCCAATGAAGTCCATTATATGGAGAAAATCCTGGAAAGTTTTCATCAAAAACCTTAATTTCTTTTCGACTGAAGAAAGACATGGGGGTGAATAAATTATCAGCAAAAGTTTTTTTTTTTTCTTTAACTCCCTTAAAAAAGCTTCTGAATGGTAACTACTTATGTATCTAATGGAACTTCCAAGGATCATAAACCAACCTGGAATAACCAGGTAACGCGTTTCATATAGTGTTAAAACGAGTAGCTGAGTCAGGCAATGCTTACCATACAAGGATAATTACGACGTTTACAACATGAAAGAAGCAGATACATTCATCACAATTGGAGTGTGTGGTTTCTCTGTGGCAGGTTTGAGCAGGCCTTTCTAAACAGCCTGATCAGAGAAATGGGAGGTTCTGACTCCCAATACTACTGGACAGCCCTACAGGACAAGGACAGAATCAGAGAGTACCGCTGGCTGACCCTGAATGGCTCATCGACACCCCTCAACTACAACAACTGGAACCGACACCAGCCAGGTAAATCCTTAAAACGCTTACCATCATAAAGATGGGCTAGCAGGCACAGACACACTTTATTTGATGGTCTCTCCCTCTGCCTGCAGTGAATAGTGGCGGGTGTGTGGTCATGTCTGGAGGTCAAGCACTGGGTCACTGGGAGGTGAAAAATTGTCACACCTTCAAGGCCCTGGCTGTATGCAAACAGGAAGTGAGCGACAACCATGCCACCCGGACGCCTGTGCCACACATAAATATAAATGCACCATGTCCGACAGGATGGGAAAGCCGCAAAAGCCTGTCTCACTGTTACAAGGTGCAGAGAGTATATAATCATAAATCAATAATAGAGAGTAACTGCATGCTTTGATACATTTTTTTACCCATTGTTTACTCAATATTTAGTATGTTACTGCCATTTATGATCTGTTTGTTTGTTGTTTAGGTGTATCACAGTGAGAAGATCTTGATGCAGCGCACCTGGACCGAGGCTCAGTTCTTCTGCCGGGCTTTGGGTGCTGATCTGATCAGTTTCCATCACAATGAAGAACAGACTTTTGTCAAAAATCTCCTTTCCATGATGTTCCAAAGGTTGGTTTACATGTTTACCCATGACAGGTAGGGGTTCATAAGCAATTTTTTAAAGTTTTGGTAAGATTTTTTTTACATCTTTTTTTCTTTAAGAAGGCTGCATTAACAGTATTTATTCGAAAAACAGTAATAATGTAAATACTTTTATATTTCAATTTAAATCTAGATATGATATTAATTTATACTAATATAAATCAAAATCGAAGAACATTTTTACTATCAATGTTAAAAACAGTTGTGCTTCTTAATATATTGCTTAATAAGCATTTTTCCAGGATTTTTTGATAAATAAAAAGTACATTTTGTAACATTTTAAAATGTCTTACTCTCACTTTTGATCAATACTAGTGTGGGTGTGGATTGTATATATAGTGCTAAGAAAGTGCACTTTTAAAAAAACTTTTGCTGATATTTTACTCAACCCCATGGGCTTTAAACAACACAAGATGACGAATAAGGGTCTTATCTAGGACCCTTCGAGTCATGACTCGAAAAAATATTTGTTCGTTTTGATCAACAAGTTTGAACTGGAGCAGAGTAAGGCGAGCATTTGAGCTTAAACTTTTTTATTTATTTTTGAAATGACCGATGGTTTCGCTAGATAAGGCACTCATTCATCGTCTGATATTGTTTAAAGCCCTTTGATGCTGCAGTGAAACTCTCACTTGGTCCTTGAACCGTTTGGTTCCCATTGAAGTCCATTATATGGAGAAAATCCTGGAATGTTTTCATCAAAAACCTTAATTTCTTTTCGACTGAAGAAAGAAAGACATGGACATCTTGGATGACATGGGGGTGAGTAAATTATCAGCAAAAGTTTTTTTTTTTTTAAAGTGAACTACTCCTTTAATTAAAAAACAAAATCTTACTGACCCCAAAATTGTATATGGTAGTCTATTTAAGTGGCCATGATACACTGAACAAAATTATAAACGCAACACTTGTTTTTGCCCCCATTTTTGCACATGAGCTGAACTCAAAGATCTAAAACTTTTTTTTATGTACACAAAAGGCCTATTTCTCTCAAATATTGCACACAAATCTGTCTAAATCTGTGTTAGTGAGCACTTCTCCTTTGCCTCCTTTGTCTTTTACTGTATTGGGCCTAACTTATACAGTATTTAGTATTTTCAGTATTTTTATTTATTTATTTGCCATTCTAAATTTTATTTTAGTGCTGTAAAATTGATTAATCTAACATAAAAGTTACACACACACACAAATATATATATATATATATATATATATATATATATATATTAGGGCTGTGCAAAAATTAATTGCGATTAATCGCATCCAAAATAAAAGTCTGTGTTTTACATAATATATTTGTGTGTGCTGCATATAATTATTTTGTATATATAAATACACACACATGTATGTATATATTTAAGAAAATGTATTATTCGTATATAAAATATTTATATTTATATAATATAGATTATGTATTTATATACATATACAGAATTTAAGCACAAATATTTCTTATATATATACATGCATGCATAGGTATTTATATATACAAAATAATTATATACAGCACACACAAATACTGTATATTATGTAAACACAGACCTTTATTTTGGATGCGATTAATCGCAATTAATTTTTGCACAGCCCTAATATACGTATATATATATATATATATATATATTTATATATATATAAACTTTAATGTTAGATGAGATTTATTGTGATTAATCGATTTAACAGCACCAATTTATTCATTTACTTATTTTTCTCTCTCCTTCCTTTTCTTTTTGTCTCTTTTCAGTACAGAGGGTCGCTGGTTTTGGGTGGGCTTTACTAAGAGAAACCCTAGGTCCGAGGGAGCCTGGGAGTGGTCAGATGGCACGCCGGTAAGATTTCAGTGAAAAAAGAGAAACAAACAAAAAAGCCAGGAAAAAAGAAAACAGAGCTCAGTTCATCAGCTTTGGTTATATTAAATATTTGTCATATTCATACCATTCTGTAGGTGGTGACATCGTTCATTGAGGATATGAATGAAGTGGACTCTCACATGTGTGCTGTGTACAGTGACCTCACGAACACTCTCACGGCCCACTCATGTGACTCCAAATATGAGTGGATTTGCAAGGTCCCCAAAGGTTTGGGTTTAGGATGTAAAAATTCATTATCAACCTGCTGAAAAGACCAGGGATAAAACAGCAACATACTTGTCTTTTAAGCAGGAAGAACATCCATAAAACTGCACTGAAATATAAATGAATTATTGAAATGTTGGTGTTTTTCCTCAGGTGTGGAGTTGGTCAAGCCGTACTGGTACAGCGACCGTAAGTACAGTACAGGTAAATACTATAAAGACTCGCTTATGATGTTGATGATGATGATGACATTTGTTTATGTTTATGGTGCAGAACGTGAGCCATGGGTGTTTTTCCGTGGAGCTGAATATTACATTGCCAGTAAGCCGTTTCCCTGGGAGGCCGTCACCTTCGCTTGTAAGATGATAGGTGCTGATCTTCTCTCTGTTCACTCTAGCGAGGAACTGAACTTCATCAGAGAACGCATAAAGGTTATTATATAGTTATTTACTTATGTACCATTCAAAAGTCTGGGCTCGGGAGGTTATTTTTTAAAGAAATTAATACTTTTACAGTTTCATATCACTTCATTAAATAATTTCAGTTATTTCAACGGTCCTTAAAGACTACAGAACCAAAACCCACAACGACATTGACCAAGCAAATACATCTAGTAAACAGTAGGATAAACACAATAAATTATTTCCATCTTTTTGCCTCAAAATTACGTTTTATGTACGGAAAGCGCATCTTTCTCTCGCTCTCTCTCCCCCACTTAAACGCGCACACACACAGGTCAGACACACACTCGCACAGAAATTTGATGATTTTAGCTGTAAAATAGTGTAGCAACTTAAAAGCTACATGACATTTCTCACTAGCAATTTAATAATGGCGCTGTTTTTGAAGCAGATAAACTTACAGTTTCGTTATTAGTAGATGAGACGCTGCTGCCGAACACTGTGGAGAGATAAACAGACTCAAGTTATTCACATATGCATAATCTATCCTGACTAATGTCTTGAAATACATCATCTGAACAATGTTTTGAGGTGTGGTAACCATAGTATAATAATAATAATAATAATAAATAATAAAATAATAATAATAATAATAAATAATATTAGTAAATAAAAAATAAATAAATAATAATAATAAAATAATAATAATAATAATAAATAATAATAATAATAAAATATACTTTAAGCAAAATAATTCTCTCCTTCGCGCCGTGGCTGCATTACCACCTCAAGTGTGCATTATTTTCTGATAATTCAATGGCCCGTCATTAATTATTACTTACAAAAGTGACAGCAAAGACATTTATAATTTTACAAAAATATTCCTGTTTCAAATAAAGCTGTTCTTTTGAACTTTCTATTCATCAATAAATCCTTAAAAAGTGTATTACAGTTTCCACAAAAATATTAAGCATCAAATCAGCTGATTATAATGAATTAATGTGACACTGAAGACTGAAGAGTAATGGCTGCTAAAATTTCAGCTTTGCCATCACTGGAAAAAAAAATGCTCTTTAAAATATATTCAAATAGAATATAGTTGAAATAATATTTGTTTTTTTGTATTATATTACTGTATTTTTGATCAAATACATGCAGAATTGGTGAGCATAAGTGACTATGGTATAAAAAATGGGGCTGACCCCAAACGTTGGAACAGTAGTGTGTGTACTGTATTTATACATATACAAACTATATGTATGTATATAAAAGAACATCTTTGTTTGTGTCTTTGTTTTTTAGGACTCTAAATATTGGTGGATTGGTTTGTCAGCTAACAGCGAGCACAATGGCTTCAGGTGCCTTTCTTTGACTACCATAATGAGGCTGTTGTTCAGTAGAATTAAGTTAAACATTTGACTTTTGTTTATGTATTTATTGTTATATAATAAGTAAAAGATAAAGGCAGAAAGAAACTTTTCTCAAGTTAACTTGTCAAGATTACAGTATTTTTGCAATTGCATTTGGGCAGCAAGTATTATAGAAATCACACACTTTACCTTTAAGGAAGAAAGATGAGCATAAAAGGAACATACTATACAGTATGAAGCAGATTTCATGTTGGGATTTGTGTGTTGTATGTGTGTGTTCTGCAGTTGGACTGATGGATCCGCCCTGGATTATGAGAACTGGGAAAATGGTCAATTTTCCCGAAAGCCTGGCCAAAACTGCATCCAAATGTCGTCTCAGTCGGGTAAACAATATATGCACACACAATATTTTAAGCACACACAAGTACCATTATCCAGTATACTCAAACACAGCTTATCGTGATGTTGTGCAGGTCAGTGGTCAACAGGAAGCTGTAAAGATCCTCACGGTTACGTGTGCAAGCGCAGAACGGTGTCTTTAGTGGAGGACCCACTCGAGCCTCACTATATCGGCAGCTGCCCTGAAAACTGGTTCTACTTCGGACACAAGGTTCATATACACTAGAAGCTGGTTCAGCAGCCTTGTGAGAATGTAACCTAGATCAGTGGTTCACAAAGTGCATATTCCTCTTGCAAAGTAGTATCACTTCATTTATATATTTACTGGTTTGTCTATTTATTTGGGAATGTTTTTCTATTTTATATTTTTGTACCATCTAAAATGTTTTACTGCACAACTTATTTTAAACAACAAAATCCAATAATTTTTTTTCACATTAATCATGAGAAAAAAAAAAATGAAAAGCTTAAAACAATTCAGGACTTTTTTCACTGCAGTTTTTTTTTAAAGGAACTGACATTAATAGCACACCAGAATTATTTCACAGAGTTTCTATCCATTGTCTTCAGAGATGTCCTTCAAAAATCAAATATTTATTAATCATCTTAGGTTGTTGTGTTTTGTTGTATGATTGAGAATTGCTTGTTTGTGATTGGTTGCCAGTGTCTGTTTCTGCATCTCCCAGCCCGTCCGGAAGAGGGGAAAAGTTGGCAGGATGCTCAGTCCATCTGCTCATCCTATTCGGGATCTCTGGTGTCCATAGAGGATGAAATCGAACAAGGTAAAGATCACGTTCTTTTTTGATGACGTTTCCGATGTCGTTTTATATTGACATTTTTCCAGAATTTGTCCATTTTTCCTGTTAAATAAGTAACTTTGCAACTAAACGTCAACTAACTCTCATTATTGGACAAATAGTGGTTTCATGGGATGGGGGCGTGGCCTAGGAGTGGGTGGGGGGTTCTACGGGACATTTGGTAAATATAGTGGGTTATTGGACAAATAGAGGGTTCGTGGGACGGGGCGTGGCCTAGAAGTGGGTGGGGGGGTCAACGGGACATTTGGTAAATATAGTGGGCTATTGGACAAATAGAGGGTCCGTGGGACAGGAGCGTGACCTGGGAGTGGGTGGGGGGGTCTACGGGACATTGGGGTTTATGGGACATTTGGTAAATATAGTAGGTTATTGGAAAAATTGGCGAAATTGCTCTACGGTGCCCACTAAAGGTGTCCAAATAAACCCTATCCTGTAACGATTAAGTAGCGTTCCGCAAATTGGGGGGTATTGAAAAAAGGCCCACTCTCCAACAAGTATATGGGAGAGTGGCCATCCCAGATCATCCTACGATCCCTCGGGGGGCATTATGCGCCCAATAGCAGCTTGTCCAGGATCTAACGTTTTGGACTAACTCTCATTAGAGTATTAATATATTGTGATGGTCCTCCAACAGACATTCTACAGACTATAAGTAACTTTGCTCAAACTTATTCTAACCCTAACTCTACCAGTCTACTAATACTCTACTAACACTCTGATGAGAGCTAGTAGACATGTAGGCGCAATGTTAATTATAGTCAACAAAATGTGTTAAACGGACCATTATAATAAAGTGAAACTGACATTTTTTTCATGGCTTTTATCTTTATGGTTGAAGCCTTCATCGTCATGCTGCTTCATGGCAGGTCAGCGGGGGTTTGGATTGGGGCACAGGGGCGTTTTTCTTCCAAATGGATCAACGGGAAGCCAATCGTCTATAATAACTGGGAGGTATAAACCCAAAATTGAATATATTTGAAATGTTACTTGATTCCAATACTGTTTTTAAATGTTCTATGTTGTGTCTACAGAAGTCTTATTATAGATCTCCTATGGAACATCATTGTACTTACCTGTCCAACAGTCACATCTTCCGTATGACAGGGGAATGGCAAGATGACGTCTGTACTGAGAGCATCTATGGCTTTGTCTGCCAGAAGCCACAAGGTAGGCTCATTTTCACAAAATAAATCGATTTTTTACAATAGAGATTTTTATTTATTTATTAGTATCGACCGATAGTAGATATTTATCTAACTGCAGATACACATTTAATCAATTTTTACATTTATCTTGCCTTTGCCGTCATCATCATTAACTTAAAACGCTTAAAAATTACATTTAATAACACTGTTAAATGTTATCTCTAGCAAAGCTAAAAAAATATTGTGTGAATTATATAATTTATGATGCTGAAATTAACTTGTTCCATTTAAAATGGATTTATTTAGACAAAATAAAATAGGATTTTATAGCCCAGCTAACAGGGAGCAAGCTAACATTTGCTAACGTTCTGGCAAGGTTCACTCAAAGTTACGAATGTTTTTTATCAATGTTTTAGTTTAGTCTAAACGTTTAGAATTTAGAATTACTGTTTAAAAATTTTCAGAGAACATTCAAAAATAACGTCACAATAATAATTGAAAAATGATAAAATGGAACTTAATGATCACATTATATACAGTATATATATATATATATATATATATTGTTTTTGTTTTTTTTTGATGTTTTGAATGTTCAAAAAAAATATTATTTTTGTTAGCTGGGTGGTTATTGTTCATAACATTAAAATAATTCAAAGCTTTTTAATACCGGTGCATCCCTACTTTATCTCAGACATCACCAAACGTCCAACCCAGCCCTATTACACCGCTTCCTCTCTGGACACATCTGAGTATAAGAACCACAGTTACCGAATCATCCACGGCAACTTGAGCTGGTACGAGGCCCAGAAAGCATGTTTGGAGAAGGGGGCGGCACTTGTGCGGATCGCAGACCCGTATCAGCAGGCCTATCTCAATGTGCTCATTAACAGGCTTGATGCCCCACTCTGGATCGGCTTGTACAGTACAGATGTAAGGAGGCTTTGAAATCATATTGTGATATATTTTGATGAGTTGAATTGGTGTATTAAACAAGAGCGCCCTCTATCTCCATAGGATGATATAGATCATCAGTGGGCTGATGGCAGTGAGGCATCGTTCACTAACTGGGAAATGCCAAAAGGAGATGGAGACTGCGGGTTCATGGATGTTAATGGACGCTGGAAATACGCAGAATGTGACATGCTGTTATCAGGAGCGATATGCTACATACCTCCCCCGAGTGAGTCCATTCCTCCTGTCTTTTGATTCATTTTATTACTTTTAAATTGCTGAAATCTGACTGAGATTCTTGTTTGATCTCGCACAGAAAGCATCGCTTTTTCCTATGACGTGGTATGTCCTGAACGCTGGCTGAAGTTTCGCGGGAGCTGCTATTATTTTAAAAATGTTGTAACAAAGATGACCCTGGAGGAAGCGAGAAATCACTGTAAAAAGAATGGTACTGCATTTTCAAATTGTTTAGATCAAGAGCTCCACCTAGGGGGTGACTTTGATCAACTTTGGTTGCATTTGCATGGCTTAGTAAGACTTTTCATTTTTCTCAGGAAATTCTTCAGAAATTCTGACAGTTCAAGATGATGAGGAGAGCCGGTTCATCATTAACGAGTTGGTGCGTTATTACAAGGGCCCTCGGAAATTCTGGCTAGGAATTTTCTTCAACACTGACAGTAAGAGCCTTGATGTTAAATATTGAGAATTTAGAAAACTTATATAAATGAAAAGAATATAATGTATTTACAATTTTTATATATATATATATATATAGTACAGTTTTATAGACTTTTGTAAAATTAAAATGATGTATGAAAATAATTATGTAAACAATTATTTATATATATATATATATATATATATATATACGGTATATTATATACCGTATATATATATATATATATATATATATATATAAATAATTCTATACATAATTATTTTCATACATCATTTTATATATATACTCTACAAAATTCATTTGGAATTTTAATTTATATTATTTTGTATTTATTTAAGTTTTATATGAAAATGTCTTCTTATATAGAAATTGATATTTATTTTTATTTATAGTTAATTTTGATATAGACAGTTTTATTTTGAATTTATAAAATGTTATATTCAAGTGTAACCCTATTATAATATTTTAAAGGTTCCTACTTTTGTTTTTGAAGTCTCCTAAAATAGGTTTACATGCTTCCAAGATAAATTTTGTTTTTAATTCTCTCATAATATACAGTAAATTTGCAGCATCACCTCTTTTCTCACAGTGTCTAAAACAGTTTAATAAATGACCCAGTCTCTCTAAAGCCCTCCTTTCCTATAGAGCAGAGATGCCCAAACTAGGGCCCGCGGGCCAAAGTTGGCCCGTGGTATCCTTTGATTTGGCCCGCCATACCGTCCGGGGAGAGGGGATTTCTTTAAAATGCAAAACTTAACAAATAAAACTACATTAGTTAATCAGATTGAAGTTGTTTTATATTTATTTTAAATATTATAAAACAAATAAACCCATAGCAACTTTAATGTAATACCGTTTGATTTATGATGCTAAAATTTATTTTTGGCCCACGGCCCACAATCAAGTTTGATTTTTGGCCCTTCCTAGGAAAAAGTTTGGGCACCCCTGCTATAGAGCCTACTCTGCACTGATTGGTCAGATAGACCTGTAATCTACTGCTTATGCCCCTTATCATATCTAAATTATAGTTCCAGATGCTTCCTCTTGTATACACAGGCGTCGGTTGTTCCATATCAATGCATGCAGAGTGGGTTTGCTTTTGCAGCAAAGTAGATGTTGTTCATTCATTGGCAGCCACTAAAGACCATAGGCTGACCTTATGCAAATTTTTATATTGTAAAATATGCAAAAAAAATATTGGTTCCTGCTGGAAGTAAGACTCGAATTACTGACGGCTCATTTCAGGCTGTTCTTCTTTTGGGAGACAATAACTCCATTTAGTGTATTTAACACTTTAATCGTTGAAACTTTGCAGACCCTTTACATTCGCATTCGTAACACACTACATGAACGGCAATATCTGAAAAAAACTTAATGGGGCATTTTAAAGTTTTATGCGAAACATTTTATGTTATGTTCATTGAAAGTTTTATCTGAAAAATACAACTGTCCTTATGTAACCAAAATGCTTATTTTCAGAGAACGCTTTGACTCGACTGGATGGCTCTCCGCTCCAGTACACTTACTGGCACTCCAAAGCTCCAGATCCCAGTGTCATGAGGGCCGGTCTATGTGTGACTATGCGGATATCAGATGCTGTGTGGCAGTTAGACAACTGCACTGACACCCAGGGCTTCATCTGCAAAACCTCATCAGGTAAAAGGAATGACCTTTGACTTCATAACCACCACAAAGTCCATGATTAATACAGAAATGCAACAAGAAAGGACTATTATTGGCCTTAGAGTGGGAACATTTCTTTGTTGCAGTGCTGTATCATGACTCACAAGTTGCAAAATAAGAATCTGTTAACGTCATCATATCCTTCCGTTCCGTAGTTGTGATACATCCTTTCCTCATGGGTAAAAATAACCTGAAGCCCTAAAATGATTTTGTTTCATCTGGAAAGCTTATATCATTTCCATTTTGTTGATATTTTTGTCTATTTTTCAATGCAATTTGTTTGGGAGATTTTATTTACCTTTAAATTACTACATTTTATCAATAAATTGTATAAACTCAGCAACTTTATTTCAAAATAACTCACCATTTCATGCATAAACCTTTGTATTCAACTCAAACTCTTGTGGGAAATAATGCAACATGATATTTCATGACTCTTGTCACTAGATGGCCTTATATCTCTAGAGTCTATGGAGCAAATGAACTGCAAATGAACTGTTTCCCAGGTGCTAAAGTTAATTTTCCCCATTTATTTCTTCAGTATGCAGTCAGGTATCTATGTAGACATCATAAAACCATCCATTTTTGGTCATTTTTTGACCATTTTTAAAAGATTTTCTATTTATACTGAAGTGTCAGATATCGCACATGTGCTGGGTGGGGTTGTTCTGCATTGTAAATGTGTTCAAATCTAACCTCTTCATATCTGTGTGCATTGTGACCGATTTTTATTTGAAACACACAAACATTGACCTCATTCAGATGTTTTGCTTTGCATCACAGGAGCCATCAAAGAGGTAGAAGTGGAGCCATTGAAAGGTTAGAATATCATATTTTTCAGGAAGTGACACCTCTTATATCCTCTGTATACTCTGCAACACTGTCAGCTCAGTTTTGAAGCGATAACTAGTACCTAAGTAGTGTAAATAATTGTATAATTAGTCTACAGCGTTTAGTTCTCAGTTTCAATCACGGTCATGCATCATATGAAAACAAGAATGCGTGTCGTTTAAGACTCGACGTGTCGTTTCGTTTCAGGTCTGCACCGAGGTGTGATCTCAGTTGCTGCTTTGGTGGCCATTGTGTTGTTTGCTGTGATGATTGGATCATTGTGGCTTCTTTACAAGAGAAACTCTCTTTGCATCCAGAGGCTTCCGACATTTGGCAGTGCCTATTACAGACAGACAAGCTCCCAAGCCAGTGATCAAGATGAGAATGTTTTACTCCCAGACCTAGAAGCACAAGCACGGGACTAGTATGCGTGTGTGTGTGTATGTGTGCATGCATTCATGTGTGAATTGCCTGAGACTCCAGTGCAAATATGATAAAGTTGAGTTGTCTGTCCGTACTGTAGCTACAGGAGGACATTGTGCACATACGGCCGAATCCAATCCATTTAAAATCACTATGAAAGGGATATTCTTTATGAAGTAGGAAATGGGGCTTTTTACACTTTGTCTCATATTCAGGACAACAACAGAATTCCTCTAGAATGTTAAAGTTAAAATGGCCAAATGGGCTTGTTGGTTGAATGTGGTTTTATTTTGTTTAGGTGTTACGGCCTGTTTGCATCAACACGAATGTTCAGAAAGAAATTCTTGAGGGTGAGTAAATGATGACAGAATTTTCATTTTTAAGTGAACTATTCTTTTAAAGCTACACTGTGTGATTTTTAACCCCATCTAGCAGTGAAAAGGTATATGACCATCCAGTGAATATTAGTTTCTGTTCCTCTCAATTCCGATTTCGTTTTAACTCCTACGGTGGCCAGTGTAGTCCAAGATTACCATGGCTTCCAGTTCGACCTCGTCCATGAGTGTTAACTCAGACTTAAGCGCGAAAGGCGAAGCTTGAATTAACAGTATGTCCCTCTTTGGCTAATGTACTTTCAAGATGGAGGGTCAACATGGCGACCGACATTAGAATCCCTTACCCGTATGTATTTTCAATGGCATATCATACACTCACGAGAATACTTTATTACTTGAACGAAGTAAATATACATTAATGAGCACATATATTTTTGAAAGAACCAAGTGTTTTTAGCTAAGAATAAACTAAAGAGTTACACAGTGTAGCTTTAACTGTCACAAAATGGAACGCACAGGATGTCAAAGGAAGAGAGGGAGCCTTTGAAATCGATCAGATAAAGGTACAGTATCTCAGTCAGGAGACAGGAAGTGAAACTAATTGGAATGTATCGTCAAAAGGCAGCATTTTTTAGCTTTCGGATGTAGACATAGATTTATGGAACAGCAGTGGCGCTGGGCATGTGACCAAAAAAATGTGAATCTTATTGGTTGATTCACGTTGATTCACGTTGACAGCATGGGGGTGTTTGTGACGGTCTAACTTCCATTCGTTCGAATTAAAATGTTGATTGCACTTATTTTGCTTCGAACATTCGTCTTTTTGTGAACAGGCCTTGAAAGTCAACATGAAATCAAAATTTACTTTCTGGTGTAATGAGAAACAGGCAGTCGAAGTAGTTGATGAAAGATTACTAATTTGAATTGAAATAATCTAAATTTAAATAAATGAATAATCACAAATTAAATTTATGAATAAGGACATTATCATAAAAAAATGACCATTTTGGATACACCAATTTCTTAAAGGTGTACTCAGTATTTCTTTCCACGTTAAAAAAGTTGTACGCATTTTATGTGAAAAATGTGTCAAACAAAAACATAACAATTACTGAGTGTACTTTCAATGAATTCCTATTCACTATGTGCAAATTTTGCTTATCTTTGTAAAAAAAAAACATGTATACAGACTGATGTATGACACGCCAATTCGTATTTTCATTTTTGGCGTGCTATCAACACGCATAATCGCTTTTCAGCGTGTTTATGAACGCCGTTGAGTTAACGTTACATTAATGTATATATAATATATGACCTACCCCAACCCCGTCCCTAAACCTACCCGTCACTGGGGTTATGAGTCTTCCCCTACCATCCTAGGAAAAAAATATCGCTCCCCAGAAGTAGATGTACATTTTGCTTCGTTTCGCTCGGACATGTAGTACACACACGCGGAATCACTCGGACATTAGCGTAGACATACACGCATTACACGCTTATAGCTCAAAATGTGTATAGATAACACGCCACTTGACTTGAAAGTGGCGTGTATGTTTACGCAAAAGTCATGATGGCATGTTGATATATATCAAAATTCATCACATTGTGAAAGTAAATGTGGTAGTGGATGTCATTTCATGTTGACTTTATGTTTTACTCTTCAATTGCAACTATTAAACAATGCAACTTTCGGATCTCTGTCCCAGCTAACAAAAATATGTTCAAAGAATCTTTGGCTAACGTTCGTGTTAAGTTATGAAAATGTTATTTCTGAAAGTTCTCTGAAACATTCAAAAGGTCCACGTTTTAAATGTTTTAAAAACCCTTTTCTCGGTTATGGGAACATAATGGGAACTCTTGGAACGCATTTGAAATGTTAGTAATACATTTTAGAAAAAAAAAACATTCCATGAATAATGTTTTTGTGAGAACCTGGAAGAACATTCGTTCATAAATTTGAGAGAATCGTGCCAGAACGTTAGCCGAAGTTCCCTGTTAGCTGGGGTGATCCTCCTACCCTGGATGAACAGATCTTTTGAAGTCTTTTAATAGTTCATGTACAGCAGGAAGCTTGTTTTTACAAGATAAAACAATAAACTACAGTAAAAGAGTCCACATATTCAAAATAAGCCACTGCACACCAAAGCACAGCAGAACCTTGTGGCCATGAATGAATGTTTACCTTGCACAGTTGCTGGTGTTATCAGTAATACAACCTTATTTTAGTATTGTATTCTCTCCTCTCTTTTGATACCTGAAACTAGTTTGAGCTAAAGTGTGTTTGTTTGGATTACGTTTGTTCTTTACACACCTTACCTTGCACAGCTCCCATTGCACCGGAGCCATGGTATACACTTCAGATTCTTCTTCTGTGGTTAGAAATCTTGACCCCAAGTTCAGAGTTCAAATCTTAATTTCGGCTGTTGTGATCCTTTGTATTTTACTGAATGTGCTTCTATGACTTTTTGCGTTGTCTAATGGAGAGGCTATTAGTGCTTCTAGTTGGGAGTAGTAGTTCACTTTTTTAGTCATTAGGAGTAGTTCACTTTAAAAAAAAACTTTGCTGATAATTAAACCATGTCTGTCTCTCTTCAGTTGAAAAGAAATTTTGGTTTTAGATGAAAACATTCCAGGATTTTTTTTTTCCATATAATGGACTTTACTGGGAACCAAACGGTTCAAGGTCCAAAAGAGAGTTTCAGTGCAGCTTCAAAGGGCTTTAAACAACACCAGATGATGAATAAGGGTCTTATCTAGCAAAACGATCGCTCATTTAAAAAAATAAATAATTTTTTTTGTTGTTTTATAAGCACAGATGCTCACCTTGCTCTTGAATGTTTTCATCAAAAACCTTAATTTCTTTTCGACTGAAGAAAGAAAGGCATGGACATCTTGGATGACATGTGGGTGAGTAAATTATCAGCAAAAAGTTTTTTTTAAAAGTGAACTACTCCTTTAATTGGCACAAAAAAGTAAATGAAGCACACACACGAAAGGTTGCACTTTTCAGTTTCATGAATCCCCTCTGTAATAAGCAATGAATACCCCATAGACATATACACTAGACGTCACCTTCGGGTTCTAAGCATGCGTCAAAACTGCTGCCATCTTGGAACAGGGGTGTTGTAATAGGAAGTAGCTAGGTAACGCTGCTATCTCTGCCTTTACTTCGAATTAATTGTTTAAATTTTTTTTTAATTTTCTGGAATCAATGATAAATAAACGTCAGACCGTTGGAACGAACACCCCCCCCCCCCCCCCCCCAAGCCCCAAAAAAAAAAAAGAAAATCGCATTCATGATGATTTATGGTGATTTTATTTCCATTAGACCTTTGTCTTTGACGCTGATGCATTAAAGTGGAGGGGCTCCCCTGTTCCAAGATGGCGGCTCTATTGACGCATTCGTTCTAAAGAACTGCCGTAGCCAAGGCGACATCTACAGTAGTGTATATATCGATGTGGATATCCAACTGCCTTGGATTTTTTATTTTATTTTTTATTTTCTTGTATCTTGCAAGACAATCGTGGCTTTTTTTTTTTTATTTAATCGACACATTTCATGTATTTGTAGTACATTTTGATATATTCTGATAAGTTCTTTTAATTCTGAACTTTTATGTTACTGTTAGACTGTGTGTTTATATTTGCGATTGTGTTTAAAGGGTCTTCATAGTATTATTGCGTGTCACTGTTTACATTTTTAATGTTTTTATCATTGTTTAGTTGTTTTGTTTCTAAAGAACTACAATTGTCTGTTGTAAATTTAGGATTTTTTCTTTTCATGACCAGTTTTCAAGAAAACCTACATATTAAAAAAAATATTAAAATCTTCTTGTCTTCTGTAATTGTACAATGCATCTATAAACACAATTAACTTGAATTATAACAACAAAGAGCAACACCTCCTCGAATTTGTACCTCCTCGTTATATTAGTCAGAAGTAAATGGAAATGTTTGTTCATAATGTGTGTAAAACCAATTTACCAAAACAATCAGTTGATATTTTTAGTTTCTGTCATATATAGTAACATAGTTATTGTGAGGAATTTGCTCCCAACATGAAACAAAACACAATAATGTCTAATAATCTCAGACACAAAATGCAGTATACAATACTGTACAAAACAATACAATATACAGTACTGTAACTAATGTAATGGCTAATTTTTACATTTACATTTATGTTTCTTTTCTTTTATATATCTTTTATTTTCTTTCGTATGTTTTCTTTTATTTTATTAGATGTCGTGGGGGTGTGTGTAACTTTTACTAACGTTGGAAAAGATGTACTCATAAGGATTTAAAGGAAAATATTCATATCATCTAACATATACTCATTAGCATTTAAAGGAAAATGTTCATGTAATCCAAAGGGCATTATTAAAGATATAACAAGCTGGTAGAAAAGCATAAGTTAATAAGCTTAGTTTGAGAACATATTGTTCTGTGTTTAACAAAGGAGCAAGCAGCATGGAAACATTTTAATAGCTCATTGTATTTCAAGTGTGAATTGTATGTGTGCAGGGTTTTGATCAAACAAGAGATAAAGCAAAAAGGTGTGAGGTCGAACAGTTGTGGCCGAGAGATGAGTTGGGGTGAAGTCAAGCTGTACTTGAACACAGGAAACTTTAACACAAACGTCATTGTGCTGCTGTCTGAATTGAATATATGGTTTGAAGAATAGTTAAAAGCAGCACCAACAGGTTTCCTTTCTAGACGGCATAGGGGACAATCTGCTGCAAACCAGACACAGCTTGTATAGGACGGTTTCCTGAGTTTTCAGGTATATAAGAAGGATGGCGAGAAGGACTAGCCTTCGCCTTCACATGTAGACATTGTATGTTGAATGCCAAGTTCGGAATTGTTTTCTTGCAAGAAAATAAACTTTTGATACTTTGACTTTGAAGAGGTTTCCAATTGTCTTCTTCCTCCTATCTTTTCGAACAACAGAGAATTATTTCCACAACACTCAACACAAGCTCAACACGAGTTTTAAGAAACGGCTGAAGACACACACACACACACACACACACACACATATATATATATATATATATATATATATATATATATATATATATATATATATATATATACGTTAAAATGCTGGACTAACGGACTGGTCACAGCACTTGCATATTGTTGCCTTATTGTTAGTTTTATTGCTTCTATTGCTCTCCACATGTGTAAGTTGCTTTTGATAAAAGTGAATGAATAGGCTTGGACATGATTCTGAAGCTGAAAATACTGAATTAGTTTAGATGAAAATGCTAGCACTCTATCACTGACTAGATATTAAAATAATGTTGACCACTTTTTCTGGTAACATCAGACATCATCAGGACCCACAAATATTCCCACAGTGCATTATTATACATTATACACACACACACACACACACACACACACACACACACACACACACACACACACACACACACACACACACACACACACACACACACATACTATTGCAATTATCATAATATTTAAAACTGAATGTTTAAATTAAAATATGAAAGCACAATTGGGCTGATTAAATAGTCAAATACACGAATATGAATTATTTTAAACCGTACTGACTACGTTACTAACCCCCCAAGCTAAAGTAATACAAAAAAAAACAGCTTTAATAATCAATGTGGCTAATATACAAAGAGGTCGATGAGACACACGAAGCACGATCAATAAGCGCAGCAGCACTTGCTATTAAGGGCGTGGCGTTTGCACCATGACGTAGTCTACTTGACAGCTGACACACACACAACCGCGGCCCCCGTTTGGATAGCAATAAACAGAAACAGAAAATGTTTCAGGAGAGTCGAGGCAATATAATCAAGGGGGATTTTCTGCCGCTTAAAGCGTGAGAGAACTAACCGGCCTTTACAGGCATATAGTCTAGGGAAACGTATGACTGCAGCAGTCAGGAGGGGTTGTTTACATTTCTCATCATGGATTGGAGCACACAGAAGTTGTTTTACACTATTATATTCCTACTTTTAGGAGAAAGCGTAGCTCCAAGTTACGCATCAGGTGTAAACAGCGGTAAGTCTGTCTTTCTGTTCTGTATACTCACTGTAATATAATCTGTACCATCATACTAACTGCTGTTACAAATATTGGACCATTTAAAATTTAAAACTTGAAATGCCTAAAATGACCGAAGGCAGTCTGACTTATGGTGAAGGTGCTGTTACCTTGAGAGGGAGTTTAGAGAGGCAGGTTTCAGTTGGTAATGCGTTCTGAAGCATTTAATACACTCCATTTGTTAAATTCAGTTTACATGTGTGAGTTCGTGGGTGGGTCTGGTGTGGTGTGTCGTTCACATGCTGTTTAGACTCGGGTTATGACCAATTTTTGACATTCAATACACATTTTTTTTAACTACACCACTGACTGACATATTAACCCACTGCATTGCCTCGTGCGATCACGGCTCATATTCACCTTTTGCAAAACACCTCCTCATATTTCTGCTTGATGTGTGTGTGTGTGTGTGTGTGTGTGTGAGTGAGTGAGAGAGAGAGAGAGAGAGAGAAAATTTGCATTACAACATGTTTTGCCCTTTAGCCTTCAAATTATGAAGTCCATATTCTTTTTTATATACCACATCCGCTATATTTACTGTGTCATTTATGTTTAAGTTGTCATTATATACCCTATATGTAGGCCTGTGTATTTATAAATAGCCTAATTGATTAAATATTCTAATGAATTAAATATTTGAAATGCAATATGTATATTACGTCGTATAGTTATATTGAATACATATTTATATATTTATAAAATATTTATTTGAGTTAGTGGGGGAAGTGAGACATAGAACCACTTGAACTTTAATGACACTTTTTTGGCCTTAAGCCTTTAAACTGTTTTCCTTCAAGCCTTCAGGTTTGCCTAGTATTTACTAGATTATTTTTATTATGCTCATAGACAAAATTCAAACACATCATTAAAAACAGTTTATGGTATTATAAGAAATATCAAAAAGTAAATATGATTACTAGCAAGCATTTATTTATATAATATTTTATTAACATTTTCAAGTTAATTATATAACTATAATACTTTTTATTTGTTATTAAATAATCTATAAATTGTATTATGTACTGTACGAATTTAGAATAAGATTATGTTAACATTAAAATGTGTACTTATATTGAGTATTAGTTAACTAACTTCTTCAGTTAACATGAACTAAGAATGAACAATACTTCAAAAAAAGTATTGTGTTTGTTAACAATTAATGCTCTGTAAGCTAACATGAACAAACAATGAATGATTGTATTTTTATTGACTAATATTAACAAAGATTTATACAGTAACTCACTGTTAGTTGTTAGTTAATACATTAGATAATGTTAACAAATGAAACCTTATTGTAAAGTGTTAAATGAATAGATTATTAATTTCTAGCATATCCACACATATTGGTTAAATATGTAAACAGACTGGTTAAATAAACACGCAAACAAAGATTTGCAGCCGTGTTCTTCAGAGAAATGTTGATGTTGTGTTTGTTTTGTTGGGCCTGCAGTGACGCGCCACCCTCAACAGAGCACTCTATGACTCAAAAAGCCCTTTGTTTTCTGCCTGTTGTTCCAAACAGCGAAGTGCAAAGCAGAGTGCAGACACCGTTATGACACGTCCTATGACACTTGATCAGATGTTGTGGAAAATAACTTCACTTTGGCAAGAGAGAAATGCCAATTAATAACCCACGCTCTAAGGCTGCTTTAACATTAACACAACACACTGCTGTATAAACAAAGATTGCAGCCGACTCTAGATGTTCTGCACATCTATACAAATAGATATATCTTGATTAACCCATAAACGCATACCTCGGGTCTTTAGTGGCTCGGGACTTCAGTCACTATCTTTCTCCTCATTAGTTTTTTTTAAAGTTAGACATCATCCTTCTTCGTATTCCTGAATCAATTCATTTTTTTTCTGCACAACAATGATTGAATCTTTGCAATTCACCTTTATTCCACAAGGTGATACACAATTATGAAGTGATGTTTCTCTTGTAGTAATCGCAGGCAGAAAACAAAAGAATAAGAAGTATCATCAGCGAAATGTGAAATGGCTCAGCGATCAAATATATGAAATCAAATATTAGTGTCACTGTCATTTGATGGTGGAACTGGTGAGGAAGCTCTCAGTGATCAAAATATTGGTTTTGAAGATATATGCCATATGCTGAATGTACTGGGAAATGAGCTCTGACGAGGACAGTGATGATTGTGTAAAACACCTGCTTAAACTGAACCCTTCCAATCTCCAAAAATTAAAGGAGCTGTATGCAAGAATTTTTTTTTCAATTAATCATACATTTTCCCTGATATGTCACTAGACATTAAGAAATCATGTTCATTTCAAATATTTATATCACTGACAACAGTAGTCCGGCCAGGATATTGTCATTTAAAAAGTGAAGTTGCAGCCCACAACTGATGTTGATGTTGTCATGTTGTGTTTTGTTCTGATGCTCCACCCTCCACCGATCTACCAATCACGGAGTCAGTAGTGTTGTGGCAATCAGGTTGCCAGCTCTTCTCTAGTTACCACAGCTGCAGATACAAACAAAAAATGTCTAACGTTGCGAAACCCAAAAAAATGGGTCGAAATGGATCCAAAATACTTTGTGGCAAAGTCCGAAATAAAGAATTAAAGTGTTAGTTCACCCAAAAATGAAAATTCTGTCAGTATTTACTCACCCTCATGTTGTTCCAACCCCGTAAGACCTTCGTTCATCTTCGGAACACAAATTAAGATATTTAAGATATTAAGATCGCTCCTGTATACTAGTCGGCTTCTTGAGGGAATGACTTGCTGGCCTCGAAAAGTCATTAAAGGACATCGTTAAAATAGTCCAAGTGACTACAGGGGCTCAATCTTAAGTTCATCAAACGACGAGAACACTTTTTGTGCGCAAAAACAACAAAAATAACGACTTTATTTCAACTATTTGTTTATTTCTCCCTCTGCCTCGAGTCAGGTTACTAGTTTAATAACGTAAGCTTCTGTTATTGTATGTCACACGCATCACACACATGACCAGCGTCGGCCAATAGCGATCACACTATCGCTATCACGCTACGTTAACTGACTAGAGGCTCAAAGAGAAGGAAGTGAATAGTTGAAATAAAGTCGTTATTTTTGTTTGTTTTTGCGCACAAAAAGTATTCTCGTCATTTGATAAAGTTAAAATTGAGCCACTAGTCACTTGGACTATTTTAACGATGTCTTTGATGGCTTTTCAATGCCAGCAAGTGTCATTCCCTCAAGAAGCCTATGGGACTAGTATGCAGGAGCAATCTTAATATCTTAAATATCTTAATTTGTGTTCCGAAAATGAACGAAGGTCTATGCCTTATTTTATTCTTCTGTTATTGTTACTCTAATATCAGGAAAGTTTTATATTATCGGCACATGTAGAGGAGATCCATCCATGTCAAATATAGACCCGAACATATAATAATGATTGGCAAAACATTCATTTATTTAAGGGTTAAAAATGTGAATATGTGTGAATAATGTGAATAAAAAGGGCATCTAAGGACAATTGGATCTTAATTATCTTTGTTGATTTAACTAAAGCAGTGATTAAAAGCACATAGTGGTTATGAGACATAATACAGTGTTTGTTTTTTGTACGTTAGATTTCAGAGTCGATTTCTCTCCACTGTCATCTTCTCTCAGATAATCATCAAATTACAAACTGTTTTATTTACGCAGGAGATGACACGTTTACTATCCAGCACAATGGGAATGGGAAATGCCTCCTGGTCCAGAATGAAGCCTTGATGTTGGGAGATTGTTCGTTAGTCCCAGCCGTGTCGTGGAAGTGGGGTTCGGCCCACAGGCTGTTCCACGTGGAATCGTCTAAGTGTCTGGGCCTGGAAGTGCGCTCCAAAACGGTGACCCTGTCCAGCTGCGACTCCACGGAGATTCTGCGGTGGAAGTGCTATGAGGACGTCATCTACACAGAATACCAAATGAAACTCAGCGCCGGGCCTAACAACTCCGTAACTGCCAAGAGGGATGGACAGGACACTTGGAAAAGAGGAGGGAGCTCGGATAACATCTGTCAGTGGGCGTATCAAAGTATGACACTACCGCTTTTTTTATATACCTACATTACATGTTAGTAGTTTTTGAAAAAAAGTCTTATGCCTGGTTCAGATTACACGATTTTAGCCTGATTTTGGCACGATCCGTTTGATGTAGGGTGTCGTGGGGATTCGTATTATCTCGTATAGTGCCTCATAGTGGGCGACAACCTACGTCGCGTCCGCTATGCTTCACGACATCACGACAAAAAGACTAGCATGTTTAATTTTTTTAACGGTCGTCCACGACGGTTCCGTCACATGTATGAGGTTGACCAATAGGAGGACAAGCTTTTCCGTACACAACTTTCAAAAATGGCGAAACAAAAGAGAGACGAAGGTGCTAAAAGTAAAAATATATAAGAAGACAATATTTTACCTCAAGTTCTCTTTGGAGGATTGACAGCCCATACTGTCCTCTTCGAGCAATCCAGAAACGTGTCCATTGTCGGGTTTTCTTTCTTTTTTACTTTTTTTCTGAACACAGGAAAGCCAATGCAACACTCACCGCTAGAGGTCGACCGATATGGTTTTTTTTCACACCGATACCGATCTTTTGAAATCTGGGTCGGCCGATGGCCGATTAATGCTGCTGATTTATTTTGGCCGATATTTGCTTGGTTTTTAACCTCTATTTGAAAGATAAAATGTAAAAGAAATGATAAATACTTAACATAGACAAACTTTCTCAACAAAAACGTTTTATCCTCTCAAAAAATGTCCTGAAACATGTATTTTTGGTTTGTTTTGTTTGTTGACAGACAAAGACAAATGGACATAACCTAATTATCACAAAAAAGGAGAAAAAAAACTTCAAATGATTATTTTTTTTTTTATTTTTTTTAATTATTATTATAAGATTATAAGATTTATTATATTTTATTTAATTTAACTTCTAACAATAACGTATTTCTGCTGCTCACTCGGCTGGAAAATGACTCTAGCAGCAGCGCGCGTCAAACACGTGTTCCACGACAACACTAGGCTGCCCACAGATGCACCTGCCTAATAATCGGCTTGATATACTTGGATATTGGCCGATGCCGATTATGTTAAAAAATGCCAAAAATTAATCGGTTAATCGGTCTACCTCTACTCACCGCTTCATCCATTGTTTGTTTACATATGTTTCCGGAAGTCACTCGCTACTAGTTTCGCCTTCTCGATGACATCACGCGTGCCGTTAAAGACGGCATGCGATGACTGGTCAGGAAGCAACGTGTAGTCTGACATGTCTTGTCCACGACACGACAAGATTTTAGGAGTCAAAATCCCGTAATCTGACACAGTGACTATCGTAACAGACAAAAAAAAAATCGTGTAATCTGAACCAGGCATTATGCTCACCAAGGTTGCTTTTTTTTTGTAATCAAAAATACTGTAAAACATATAAAAACATAAACATAATACATTAAATGTATATAAATGTATAAAAATAACTGTTTTATATTTTCTATTTCAATATATTTTAATATGTAATTCCTGTGATGGCAAAGGTGATCCTTGATCCTTCAGAAATCTGAAGGATCATGTGACACTGAAGACTGGAGTAATGATGCTGAAAATTCAGCTTTGCTCTCACAAGGATAAAGTATATTTTAAAATATATTTAAAATTGTATAATATTTCACAGTGTCGCTCGCTGTTTGCACTGCATTGGTGAGTATTAGAGACTATTTCAAAAACATTCAAATACTTTAGGCTTTGAGGGGTCATGCTGTGAGCGGGTAGCTGAATGGTTGTACGTTCAAAGCCTTGAAAAGATGATGCATGAACCGTTGTGCCTTTGAAAAGGGTTGACCAGGGTGATTGACCTTATAAATCATTTTAGATAAAGGTATCTGCTAAAAGATGCACAAAAGCTCTTGATCTTATCTTGCAAGCTCTTATCTGATTGTCTGAGTCCACAACTTATTGAATTGAGGCCACACAGTTATTTATTTATTTACTTGATCAGTTTGCCTGAAAACAAAGTTGTGACTTCCTGTCGCTACATTGATGTAGAGTAGGTACATTTCGAAACATTTCTGTGCTTGTTGTGTTTATGTGGTTTAATAAGGGGGAGGATTGTGGTTTAACGGTTGTTCAGATCATCCAGTTCATCCGATTTCCGTTGCTCTGCCCTCCAAGAATAATTTCAGGTTTTGCTCTGGATGTTTGCTTACTGGTTTAACCACTGTTGAATCATGTGACTGTAGCAATACAGGAGTGGAGTTCATGGGAAACTCCACCTGCTCGTACAGTTTTATGTGCACAGCGATTGCTTAATATCTGGCAGTATACAAGTTAATAACGACTCGTCTGGAGTTACTTTCTGTTTTTCTTTTGACTAACTTTTGTTGCCATGTGCCCAGCAAATCTGCACATTCTCACATAGTAAACATTTCGAGAAAAAAAAAGAGAGAGAGAATTTGATGTCACAGCTGCAGAATGTGGTTGTCAAGTCTGCTAAATACGTTTCTATTTTTATCTTTTAAATATGTTCCTGTTCAATTCAACACCATTCAAGTGTTTTTTTTTCTCACTACCATTTAAGTTTCTTATGCTCACCAAGGTTGCATTTATACAAAATACAGTAAAAACAGTAATATTGTGAATATTACATAAAATGTAGGCTATTTCTGTGATGCAGGTGACTCATTACGCCAGTCTTCAGTGTCACATGATCCTTCAGAAATCATTCTAATATGCTGATTTAGTGCTTAAGAAACATTTGTTATTATTAGCAGTGTAACACAGCTGCTTAATATTTTTGTGGAATTTTAGGGATTTCAGCATTTATTTGAAACAAATCTTATGTAACATTATAAACATATTTACTCTCGCTTTCGATAAATTTAATACATCCTTGCTGAATAAAACTATTAATTTCTTAAAACAAAAATCTTACTGATCCTAAATATTTTAATGGTGGGGTTATTTTAATTTATGTTATATAATTTTAATTAAAATAAATGTATTGAATTTTATATACAAAATTAAAGTAGTAAATTAATAAAATAATTATTTAAATTAATATATATTAGGGCTGTCAAACGATTAATCATGATTAATTGCATCCAAAATAAAAGTTTGTGTTTACATAATATACTGTATGTGGGTGCACTGTGTATAATTATTTTGTATATATATAAATACACGCACACACACACACACACACACACATGCATGTATATTTAAGAAAAACATATTATTTTTATATATATAAAATATTTATATATAATATAAATTATATATAAATCTATATACAGTATATACATGAAAATATTTCTTAAAGCATGTGTGTGTATTTATATACCTAAAATAATTATACACAGTGCACCCACACATATTATGTTAACACAAACTTTTATTTTGGATGCGATTAATCGCAATTAATCAATTAACAGCCCTAATATATATATATATATTTTATGATGATTATTACTATTACTTTAATTTTTATGAAAGTTAATTTTACTTCATTTTTTTTAAACAATAGATTATTTGAATTTTATATTGTTTATTTTTATGTAATTTTATATAATTTATATGTTTTGGGGGAAAAGACTCAAACTAGATTTTTAAGCAATTTTTCTTTTTCTTTATTTTGGATCCTTTAACTTGTTAAAGGTCCCGCAAGAATTTTGTCATATATTTCGTGGTCTGTTTGCGTCACTCTAAAACTAAATTTACCCCATGTTTCTACCCTGAGGAACATTTCCTTTTATGTATGAGTCATTTATTCTTTTGAGAATAAAACCCACAAACATTATAAATTCCTGTTGTTCTGTGTCTCAGGAATGCACACAAGCGGGGGGAATTCTAACGGGGCACCCTGTGAGTTCCCCTTTCTCTACAATGGGACCTGGCACCACAGCTGCCTGCCTGGCACTGGCGACAGAACGCTGGACTGGTGCTCTACTACAGCAAACTATGATCTAGAGAAAAAGTGGGGAACTTGTCTGAAATACGGTAAAGTTTACATCCACCACAGCTTCTGGGGGATTTCCAGAGAGCAGCTGAAAAGGAGAAAAAAGTGCATTTAAACATGTGACTCATTTTACAAAACAATGTGACATTAAACTACTGACTATTGGAAACTTTTATTTATTCATTCCAATGCAATTACAACTAATGTTGTATCATAACATTGGTATAATAAAGGGATAGACTTTTTGTAATTGGAAGCTGTTTTTCATTTATTCATTTCTTAATAAAAAAACAAAAAAAACAATGTGTGGAGATAAACAAACAAATACATTAACCTAAATTAACTACTTTTGTTAACCGTTTTCCCACAAACACCATGCTGACCTACTTAATGTGGTTTTAAGTGGAACCCATGCTGGTTTAAGCTGCACTTACACTGTTCTGTTCTTGCAAAACCACTTTAAATACAGTATAACTCCTGTTTGTTGCACATTCTTCTATTGTGGCTTCCAATAATTTCTGAAAAAAATACGGAAAACGATTGCAGAGTTGAAGTCAGAGACAGAATGAGAGAATCACAAATGTGAGACAGACAGATGGAGGTCTGAACAGTGAAAGAATTTGAACTAACCCCACACCTGTTTTCTTTTATTTAGTGGAAGGATGTTCCACTTTATGGGAAGAAGGCCCAGTGAAAGGGCGCTGCTATCAGGTGGTGTCCACAGCGGTGGTGTCCTGGCACGAGGCACGGGATGCCTGTCGGAGTCAAGATGGTGATCTGCTTAGTGTGTCTAGCCCTGAAGAGCTTGAGTTCTGTAAGACTCAAATCTCATTTTCACTTGCTTTCATGTTTTTTTAACCAGCTCTATTTCTGAAACTCTAATCTGCAGCTATAGTATTCTGATATATATATATATATATATATATATGAAGAGTTCAGATGCAAAAGCCTCTAAGTGCCATTTGAAATTTTCTTCTAGAATGATCATTTTTATCAAGCTTGTATATTTAAGTTCAGTAATTTCACTTAAATTGCAATGAGGATTACCTATTAATTGTCATTTAAGTGAAATTACTGAACTTGAATATATAAGCTTGATAAAAATGATCATTTTAGAAGAAAATTTCAAATGGCACTTAGAGGCTTTTGCATCTGAACTCTACATATGTAGTACTTTTACTTTATATAGTACAGCCACCCAGAACACCATCCAGAAAACCATAGCAACACTGTAGCGACCACCTATAAAACCCTAGTAACCTCATTTCAACACCCTAGTAACCAGAACACCCTATCAACAGTATAGACTCCTTTTTCGCCGACATCACAGTTATGTCACGGCGCTAGCTGGATGCAAAACAAAGTGAAAACTGGAGGCCGCCAATACAAACCAGCACAGATTCGGCTACATAATAAGGAGCTTAAATTATTGTTACTATTATTAAATGTCATCTTGTTGTGTTGTTTGGTGCCAGAATTGATGAAAAATTAATACGCTGTATTTTTATTTCTAGAAAATATTCACATCATTAAAATCGCACTGTAATGTCACTCTTTACATTATCGTCGTCTCAGCACTGGCTTGGCAGAACTGCGTATCGTACACACAAGTCTTGTACAGGACCATATAGGCATCTAAAGATTTATATGCCCTCAGTTTCTCTTTACGATCGGTTTCTCTGTAAGGTAGTCGTAGAAGTCAGGCCACTCAACCGAGGTAACGTTTCGTCAATCCTGTCAGATCGTCCATGCATTGAGTGAGCTTGTAGGCGACTACGGGTCAATCTGGTTCCGTCCGTTAAAAATAACTTTTGGAAATGACAATCGCGGTCCTGGACACTGAGTGACCTTACAAATTAAGATGAAATCAGATTTTCTCCAGTCATTGTTAAAAAAACAAGCTAACAATACTTGCTAACTACCGGCCAGAGGTATCGTTCTGCCTCCACCTAAGCTCCGCCCACAAAAAATGTCACCATGTTTACCAACTGAAAAAGGGTCTATAGCAGCCAAATAGAACACCCTAGTAACTGGCTAGCAACACACTAGCAACAACCTTGAATATTTTAGCAACCAAGTCAACAAAGTTTGTCAGGATCTAGTTATTTTTGCAATTCCATTTGGTGGTGCAAAACACTGATCTCGAAGTTTGTATCCATACTTTATTTATTGTTCATTCTCTATCTCTTTCCCTGCAGTTAAAGATCGGAAAGACTTGCCAAGCAAGCTGTGGATTGGCTTAAACCATCTGGACTGGATGCAGGGTTGGCAGTGGTCCGATGGATCAGCTTTTTCTTTTGCCCCTTGGGAAACAGGTGATTTCAAGCACACAGTATATAATAACTAATATTATTGTAAATTATTGCTTTTTATTATATGGTTTAAAGAGATATGTCAACCAAAAATAAAATGATGTCATCATTTACTCAACCCCTGTGTTGTTCTGGCAAACTTCTAGGAGAGGTGAAATGTCTGACATACAGTAATACATCTAACATTTCTCTCACTTCTCATTTCTCTCTCATCTAACAATTCACCTTCTGTTTGGTCTTACAGTACATCTACATTATATTTAATGTGTGTCTGTTATTCAGTTTCACAATGATTTAGGTTTAGCAGATCACAGAGGATCTATTCTCCATCTTATCTTAACACGAGTCTGCCGTTCACACTGACAAAGACACTTCTATCACTGTTAATGTGGCAGTGTGTATGGGCATACAATGAGATTTGTTATGCTGAATAACAAACTAATGAGTTGAATGGCGTCTTTATGCTGTAAACACAGGCAGAATCAGTCTCTGTCTCTGAGGACAGTGATGACAGCATTGTGTTTGACTGACGGTCAACTGTATGATGTGCTTGTTCTATCTCTCTTCACCCCATGTGTGTGTTTTCAATGTAATGAACTGTCTATAAACACTTTTTATGACAATTATTTGCATAAATTATTGGAGATGTTACTGCAATAATGCAATCTTAATCTAGATAACTAGATTTGAATGCCATTAAAAGTTTTTTTTATGTTAATTGTCACTAAAATGATAGACACCAAATTGTCATTTCAGTTCTCAATGCAGTTGAGACCTTTTTAAACCTGTATTGTAATATTATTAAACGCAAGCATTATTCTTTCAGATTAAAAAAAATGTAAAAAAGTATAATTCTATGTTTTTGAAAAACTTTTACTTTTAAATTTATTGACTGAAAATATATGCTTGGGCCATCTTGTAAAATAACAACTTTAGTACATACACGTCTGAAAGTTAATGTTTTCATAAATACTATTGATTTTTGGAGAATTGCAACATGTGATATTTTACATCCTAAACTAACCTTACCCTATCATAAAAAAAAATCTGACAATTAAATTGATTTTTAAGATTATGTAAACTATTGTAATTGATTATTTGGCTAATTCTGTTGCATTTACAGTATTGTTTATTAATGTGCACTGGCCCTGCTAAATAAACTAATATATAAATAAATAAAACGTCATTGACATTTTTAATAAAAAAATAATGTATTTAGGGGGATATTAAATTTAGGAATAATACTAAATAGTACTTTTTCGCCATAAAATAAACATTTTTATTTTTAAAGGGGTCATGAACTGGCTTTTTATTATTAATAATTTTATTATATTGTTGTCTGAGGTCAACTTCTAACGTTCGCTTGGTTTTTGCATTCAAAAACATCAAAATGAATAACTAATAGGCTATTTTGTACCCAAGTTTTGAACCTACCTGAAAAACGCTTGGTTTTTATGGGCGTCTCGCACTGAAGACTTGGAAGTAAACGCCCACTGCTGTGAATGGATAACAGTTTTGCATATTATAATGAGTTTCAATTCACCCTTCAATGCACTTGGGGGAAATTGTTCTGAAAACGTCCAATGTTGTAAAATGGCTACCGGAATGATTCGACCCAGAGTCCGTGTGTTGCACAATTCCTGTCAGATCCAATATAGACGGCACAGCACCATTCTTTACTCTTAATCGGTCTGCAAATCCAGTCTTGTTTGCAAAACAATCCTCAGTGAAATGAAGCGAACAGACGGACAATGTTTCACCCATCACGAGGTAGGAATCTATGTTATTTCGCTATGCGTGTAATGCGCGAATCAGTGGGCGGGGCTAAACCGGCCGTGTTGAAGTAGGCGGGGGTGGTGTTTTATCCTCTTTGACGTCAAAGTTCACCACTTTGAAAAACGAGTCATTTGCTGCTGAGGCTGGTGTCAATAAAAGCTTTTATTGGACTAACAAGGACGTTTTCAGTTCTGAAACTTACAGGATATTCTTATAATATGATGACCTCTTAGATGTCAAAAGCTCAAGGAAAATTTGATTTCTCAGTTCATCACCCCTTTAAATTATATATATATATATATACATACACATACGCAAACACACACACACACACACATATTTTATATGAATACAAGTATTTTATGGTTGCTTGAATTGGAATTTTTGTTTGACATTTGCCATATGTTAGGCATCCCAATAAGATCACTTTTGTCGGATGAGGACTGTGGGGTTCTGAAGGAGCCGCTGACTTTTGGCGCAGAGACGTGTGAAAATCGGCTTCCATTCATCTGCATGAAGAATCACAAAGACAATGCGACTACAGGTCAGAGACTGTTCTCTCTGTACTGTTTTCTTCTTTTCTTTCTCTCTTTCTCTGCACAGTCTCCTTTCCTCTCGTTTCAGCAGTCAGGGAGGTCTATAAGCCCACGTTGTGTAAAGATGGTTGGATCGGGTGGAAAGGATTCTGTTATAAACTCCACAGTGCAACGGAGTCAAGACTGTCCCAGCATGAAGCTCAGGGCGTGTGTAAGATGGAGAGATCTCAGCTTGCCAGCATTCAGAGTTTAGAAGAAATAGAAATGCTACACACATACTTTCACGCAGGTAAACACGTCTTATACACATTAGGTATCAACAACATGTTCAACAACAACTCTTTTTTTTTAATATCTGTCCAATTGACATTATAAACTGTGTGACAGATCTGAAGACCGATGTATGGATTGGTCTTTTGGGTAATGGAAGCACCTCAGTCTTCGAATGGGTCGATGAAGTACCAGTGTCTTTCACATACTGGGCCAGAGCTCAACCTCCACCACTTCTACCAAATACCATCAACTGCGTGTACTATGCTGGAGAGGTGCGTGTGTGTTTCATAAAGTCAGATTTTAATTAACCGGTCTCACATGAACAATACAGTAGCGCTGTTCTCTGATTTCTCTATGCATGTTTGTAGCATCACACATGGTCTGTGTCTGACTGTAAAAAGTCAAAAGCTTACATGTGTAAGTTAAAGGGAGATGTGAATGCGAGCGCCCCAGAGGAAGGCTGCCCTCCAGACGGGGTGAGTGACCATTACTGACTGACACATGACAGAGAGGACCACTATTGAACAATTCACTGTAACTCCAGGAGAAATGCATCAATCATGTTTGTGATTCATGTTGTTGTTATTGCCATCCATTTAGATTCCACATGTGAATCTGATTCAGATATTACTGTATAAGCAGACATCTGTTGTTTTTTATTCTACTCTCTAGAACTGGAAGAGACATAGCAATGCTTGCTATAAAGTAGACACTGAGCCTATGTTCTTCAAAAACAGCTGCCACATCACCATTAATAACAGGTAACTGTTGAGTAATTTGCTTAATCGATTAATCGCATCTAAGATAAAAGTTTGTAAATTGTATATAGATATGTATCGAGGTTTTTGTTGCCACAGTAGATAGTTGCTTTCTTCTCTAAGTGAAAGAAAAATCATATTCTGGTCTCTAGAAATGAATGATTAACACTTTTCTTCAAATCTCTAACCATACCCAAGTATGATCAATAATAATAGTGAACCATTAATTACATAATAGGAGAACTCATGCTTATGTTTCACATTTTCTAGTAACATGAAGATGTTTAATCCACTTATCTAGGTTTGAACAGGCCTTCATTAACAGTCTTCTGAAAGAGCATATCAGCTCTGGGGTTTTGAATTTCTGGACGGGCCTTCAGGACACTAAAGGGTCCAGGGAGTACCAGTGGATCAGTCAGGATGGGAGAGCAGATCAGGTCACCTACACCAATTGGAAATGGCTAGAACCAGGTAGTGCATATTATGGATTTGGCTGTTACATTTACATTTTTTTTAACATTTTTAGCATATTTAGGGCCATTAATGGACAATTTTGTTACTCGTGATTAATCACACGCTTATCGTGATGTCATCATTTGCTATATCCAGCAAAGTAAACCATCAGATTGAATCGTGACTCTCACAAAACTGTATTGTCTGCAAGCTTTTCTCAAAGTAGATTTAGGTGTCGTTCTAAAAAAGGATAACTTGAGACTCTAAAAGGACACCAAACAACCAAATGACATAAGGAGTCTTTATAATTATAAAATTATATAAAATTTATATAAAATATATAATTAAAATATATAATTTATAAAATGTATGCACACTGAAGCATGTATTAAAAAAGAATTAACTTTGTATAGTATGTGTACAGTGCAACAGCAAAGAGCTTGTTCACATTTTAGACAAGTCAAGTTACCGAACCCACAGAGATGCCGAAAAACGAAAACCTAAACCAATTGCCTTGAATATTACAGTACACTGATCCATTCAGAATTACTAATCTTTGATCTGTCATGTGTGGAAACAACATGAATATGGTGAAATGTGTACAATATGCATGAAGTCATTAATAAATGCATCCATTAATGTGTTAATGTTGACTGTGCATCTTATTTTTCATTGGGATATAGGGTAGAGTGGGGGAAAACCGCCCACCCGTTTTTCCCAAAATATTATTATTATAGCTTGTCAAAGTTGCCCCTTTTTGGGTGTGTAACTCTTTTAGTTTATTCTTAGCTAAAAACACTTAGTTCTTTCAAAACTATGTGCTCATTAATGTATATTTACTTCGTTCAAGTAATAAAGTATTCTCATGAGTGTTTAATATGCCATTGAAAATACATACGGGTAAGGGGTTCTAATGTCGGTCACCATGTTGCCCCTCCATCTTGAAAGTACATTAGCCAAAGAGGGACATACCCGTTAATTCAAGCTTCGCCTTTCGCGTTTACGTTTGAGTTAACACTCATGGACGAGGTCGAACCGGAAGCCATGGTAATCTTGGACTACATTGGCCACCGTAGGAGTTAAAATGAAATCGGAATTGATAGGAATAGCAACTAATATTCACTGGATGATCATATGGGGTAGATGGGGTAAAAATCACACAGTGTAGTTTTAAGTTACTTGTCAACCTGTAATTTTACACGTTCAGTTAATTCCCATATATTCCTGTTAATTCCCATGGAAAGTTTCCAATTTAGAAAATTAATGAAATTTTGCCTTGATAATCAATATATATTTTTGGGGAACACAATATCCTAAGTTTTTAAATATCATACATTTTGATTTTGCATTGAGTTTGAATGTGAATATGTGTTCCAGCTTTCGCCGGTGGCTGTGTAGTGATGTCTACTGGGAATCCTTTGGGCCAGTGGGCTGTCAAAAACTGCACTTCTTTCAAAGCTGGTAATATCTGTAAGAAACCCATACAATCCATGCCAATCCAACCCACCCCAGATCCAATTGTGCCCAACCCCAATGCTTCCTGCGCGCCAGGATGGGTCTCAAGGGAAGGCCTAAACTACTGTTACAAGGTGTGTAAAGGTGTATTCATCAAGATAATGAAGACATTTTCTCGTTAGATCTAACATCTTTTTGAATGTGTTTTCCGGGCCTACAGGTGTTTCACGAAGAGCGTTTGAGCCGGAAGCGCTCGTGGGAAGAGGCGGAGCGTTTCTGTGAGGCGCTAGGAGGTCATCTGCCCAGCTTTGCTGAGCCGAAAGATATGCAAGCGTTACATTTCATCCTGAGAGACTCTATCAGGTACAGATCACATAGTTTTTTTCCCGCCATAACTTCCTTTATCATACCCACACACAAACCAAATACTGTTAAATGCATTGATTCAGTGTTGTAGTACTCGAGACTCGGACTCGTCTCGGACTCGGTCTCGAGACCATATTTTAATGGTCTTGGTCTTGTCATGGACTCGTGTGCATTTGGACTCGGAATTGACTCGTACTCGAACATTTTTTTTTTTTTAGGACTCGGACTTATTCCCGCGTCCACTCGAGTTCAATTAAAAATATTTTTCATGATTATTAATGTATGTTAATAAAATATTTCTTTAAATTGATTGACACGCCCAGTGATTTGTGATTTTAGTGCGCAACTGCGCATGACAAATTGTAATAAAATTACTTTTAAGTTAACCCCACCTACTATGTGGCCTTTTTACCCTAAACTGATCATATTTTTTAAACTCCAAGTAAATTCAGTAAAATAAAAAAGGATTTCTCTAAATAAATCCTTTAAATAAAAGTAAATAAAAGTAAATTAGGTAATCAACCCTCACTGGTCTCGGTTTCGACTCGGACTCGACCATCTCTGGTCTTGGACTCGACTTGGACTCGACTCTCTATGGACTCGGTCTTGACTCGGACTCGACTCTCTCTGGTCTCGGTCTCGACTCGGACTCGAGTGAGGTGGTCTCGACTACAACACTGCATTGATTAGTATTTGTACTGTTTGTTTCCCTTTACAGTGATAATCGTTTTTTTTGGGTGGGACTAAATCGTCGAAATCCAAATAACAACAACTGGGAGTGGAGTGATGGGCGTCCGGTGAGTGATTGACATGTGATGTTTCCAGAACAAAATAAACATATAATTAAGTTGTGAATCAGAGCCATTATTTGCTCCTTTAATAGTTTGTGTAGTAAAACTAATGTGTGAAATGTGTTAGGTGTAGTAGTTTGTTTCTGTGTCTTGGTTAACAGGTCTCCATGATGATCTTTCCTGAGGAGTTCAACGAAGATGATGCCTATAACAGGGAATGTGTTGCCTTTAAGGTGTGGTAAATTGCATGACCTCATTTAAATGCAATATTAGCTAAAACAAAAACAAAACACACACAAGAAAGGCCATTCTGGCCTCATAATTACCATACTAATGCAATACATAATTACAAGTTAAAATCTTTAGTTACTTGACCATAAGAGATATTTGGGTGGCTGTACTCTTTGATATTTCAAATAATTGTAATATTTCAAATTTAATATTACAATGTCTTAATAAATAATAATAAATAAATATGATACGGATTCATTTTTCTAGATTCATTACACTGAAGTAACAATTTCCTATAAGGTTGCATTAGTTGTATTATTTAACATGAACTAACAATGAAAAATACTTCTGAAGAATTTATTAATCTTAGTCAAGGTTCATTTAATTTTCAACACAATTTACTAATGCAACCCCATTTCCACAAAAACATTGGGACATTTTGTAAAATGCGATAAAATAAAGAATCTGTGATTTGTTAACTCTCTTTAAACCTAATTTACCTGACAAAAGTACAAAGAAAAGATTTTCACTCACCGACTTTGGTGTATTTTGTAAATACATACAAATTTTGATTTTGATGGCCCCAACACACTCCAAAAAAGTACTGTTTCACATCTTTTTTTCCTTTTAATTACCCTTTTTAAATATTCGGGAATTGAGGATACTGTTAGATTTTGCTTTATTTGGCCAGGCAGTGGTTTGGGTGACTCGCCAATGTATTAGATTTCGCTAATAAATAAAATAAGTATGCTTGACCAGAGTTCTTGTGGGGAGAAGAATTAATTTAAGGTTTGTATGTCGTCCTTCAGCAATCTTAACCCAAAGTTCGGTCTGTGAGACAAAAGTTAATTAAAGAGTAACTAAACCCTAAACCAACTTTTTTAGTCAATGATCTGTAAGAATGGATCTTTATTAATACCAGTCATTGATTCGAGTAACTTTTTTGACATTTGTGTATAAAGTGTTTTATTTCTACAATATATGGTGTATAAACGTCTTCAGGTTGAATGGTGGCTACTGCAGTTGAATTTTCCTATTGGATGTTAGCGGTTCTTAACTCACGTTTGAGCTCAACATGCTCTTTGTACGAGCTACGCCCTTGGCAGTATAAAAACCAGCTTGTTTCGTCAAAACCACTGTAGCGAGTCAGGAGTTGGAATTGCGAGTATTGAAAACGACCAGGATAGAGTGTTTTAGCATCTATTAGGTCCCCTCTATCTCCGCTGGGGTCAGCCCACTTTTTCAGCATTTTTCAAATATTGCCAGTGGGCGGAGTCAGGCTCTGACCAGGGGTTTAGTTACCCTTTAAAGTTAACTAAAAATACTCATCATTTTTCGATACTAATTGTTACGGTTTGAGTTTTTGTCCAATCTTGCCTGATACAAAACAGCTGCTTAACAGTCTGTGGTCGTCGTTGCCTGATTCTCCCTTTCATGATTGGCCTTGCAGTTTCAGTTGGAGACAGATCTGGACTGTTAGTCAGACACATGGACTCTATGGTGTATTAGAGTGTCTAAGAAACCACTCGACCACTAGAATGAAGCCTGCCATTATTTTGCTTCCCATGAAAGATGTCATCTAGATGACAGTTTATGTCTCTATACAATCCCATTTGAGAGTGAGGAGTCACGTTCCGATTTGGGTTGATTTGATTCGATTTGATCCGGTCGGCCATGATGGTTGCCAGGGGCAACGCCTTCAGAACTTCACAGAGGCACGACTAAACATGCCAGAAATAGCGAAAGAGAGACAGTGCAGATTGGTATTTGTTTACATTTTAGCGATACGCCGCAGTTTCTTTGGAAGATATAGAGAAATGAAAGGGGTTCTATATCGGGAGAGACTAAATAGCAAAGCTAGCCAGCTTTATTTAGATAAACTGCTTGTCAATAAACTGACAGCAGCAACAGGGAGCATGATTTCAAAAGCAATCCATTTCAGCACAGTTAACATTTTATTTAACACAGACGAACGAAATGAATACTCTGTTATTCAACTAGAGTTGTTTAATTTGTTATAGATATATCTGTACTGCGAATTCTTTTACAGTTTTTTTTCCAATTGCTAACACACTAAAATGACATGCACAGCACAATTATTTAAACGGACACACAGAGAGCAAAACTTCTTCTCAAGTTTCCAAAAGTCTAAACACATTTTCTGCTTTACACACATTTTGCATTTCAAAATGCCACTTTTTAAATGCACTAAACACGGTTCTCTGCATAAGACACAACAATCTGACATAAAGTCACATGTTTGCCATTTCAAAACACTACCATTCAAAATGACACTACATGAGCTAATTGGCCAATTACATGTGCCACCTGGCCAAACACCTCAATGGTTAATCAGGATGTAAGCACTATAAAAACTCAAAAAAATTACTTTTTTTACTGTAATATATTTTCTTTTTCAGTTTACTGTTTTTTGTAAGAGATTTTTGTTTTTCAGTGCCATGTAAATATTTCTGCTGTGCATATGTTGCACTGACTTGTTTACTGTAGTGAAAAAAATACATTACTGTAAAATGAAGTTTCAACAGCATGTGTGTGTCTGCAAATATTTCTGTGCATGTGAACAATCTGATACATATTATTTCATATTATGGCATAGCATACTAAAGATATGAGTGCTTTTCATTATGCCCAACAGTGTGTAGTTGTTTAGGCAAAAATGTGTGCCATTTCATGCAAAAGTTTGATTTTGATAATGCTATGTGTAGTTTCGGTTGCAGTGCTACATTTTGCAGGATATATGAGGTATTTTGCAGTTTGGCTGTGTGGTTTTGTGAATTGTGTTAAGTATTTTGATAAAATCAGACTACATGTAGTTTGCAAAATTGTGTGTTAGCAATTGGAAAAAAACTGTAAAAAGACCCTTTTTAATGACGTACGACTCACATTGAAAAGGAAATGTCCGATCTGTCCGCTTAAGGTGCAAATGCATGTATTTGATTCATATCATATTTATTCCCACATATGAATGAGGCCTGAAACATCAAGTATGACTGAACTCTCGCAGTTTAACGTTACAGGTTTGGGAGTTTCTAAGTCTTGCACCCAGCCGCAGCAGAATTGTTCATAAGCTTCTAATGACTTAAAGGTTCTGAACTCTTGCATTGTGTAAGCACTGATGCCATATTTCAGATAATTGACCATGTCAGGGTATGTGAAAGGAGGGAGTGCTTTGGGTCTTTCGTCCATTCTGTAGCAGGTCGTACGGGTCCATGTTGTTGATGTCAAGTAGTTTCTCTAAATAACGCTGCTTGGTGTTGTTATTTAGTCTCTCCCGATAGAGCCTCTTTCCTTTTGCTTCCCCCTTCTTCATTTATTCCCAAGAAACTGTGCCTTATCGCAAAAATGCAAACAAATTTCAAGCTGCTCTCTCTCTCTTTCGCTATTTTTTTCGTTCTCATTGTCGAAGTAACCATGACAAAGGCAAAGGATAGTGTATCCTTCCAAGATGGCGACACCTTCCCACAATGAATGAATTGGAGATTGTAATGGTGCCTTCACACACATGGAAGTCACCCATACCGTTTGCCCCCCCACACATGACAGATGTTTGCTTTTGCACCTGTCGCTGATGAAAGTCTGGATGGTCCCTTTCGTATTTGGGACTGATAAATCAATTTCTGTTTTTTCCCCTAAAAAAAGCTGAAACGTGGACTCATCTGACCACAGCACACATTTCCACTTTAGACCATCTGAGATGAGCCCTGAGGCCCTGAGAACTCTCTGTATTGTATAGTGGCATCTCTGTATGGTATAGATTTCTCCTTGTATAACAGAGTATCAAGTTGCATTTCTTGATGCAGAAGGAGATGTGTTAAGTGATAACGGTTTTCCAAAGTATTCCCGAGCCCATGTGACTATTGTTTAACACCAAAGTATGATGGGTTCTCATGCGGTGTTTTTGAGGACTTGAAGGTCACACACATTCAACAGAGGTTTCTTGCCTTATACAGACTGAGATTCTCTGGATTCCCTGAATCTTTCACATAATTATGCATGCTAGATGGTGAAAGACCTAAATACTTTGCTTTCTTGCATATAGAAATGTGCTTTTTGAATTGTTTGACAATTCTCTAATGAAGAGTTTTGGTGGATGTTCCTTTTATACCCAATCACTATAATTTAACCTATTACCGTTAATTGTGGACTGTTTCAAAACTTGGATATTCTATAATATAACTTGATATTCTGTAATCTTTTCACTTTTAGTTTGCCTTTATTTTGTACGGAAACCCTCAACCGCAAAGTGAGAAAAAAAAGAAAGAAAACTTATCTCGTTATTTCGACATATTTCGTTATTTTGACATAATATCTCATTATTACGACATATCTCGTTATTTTGACTTAAGTCGTTATTACGACATAATATCTTGTTATAACGACATAATATCTTGTTATTACGACATATCTCGTTATTACGATATAATAAGTTGTTATTACAACATAATATCTCATAATAACGACTTATTATGTCAAAATAATGAGATAATATGTCAAAATAACGATGCTGTTATAACGAGATATTATGTTGTTATAACAAGATATTATATCGTAATAACGATATATTATGTCGTAATAACGAGATAAGTCGTAATAATGAGTTATTAAGTCATAACAACCAGATATGTCTTAATAACAAGATATTATGTCGAAATGACGACTTATTAAGTCGAAATAACGAGATTTCTTTCTTTTTTTTCTCACCTTGCGGTTCAGGGCTTCCGTAATTTTGCATTTTTGGAGTGTGTTGCAGCCATCATAATCTAGATTTGTTTATATTTCCAAAATACTATTATTTTTGTACTTTCGTCAGTTAAATAAGAGTTCAAGAGAATTAACAAATCACAGATCCTTGCATTTCTCTGCGTTTTAAAAAAAAATTTTCTGAAATTTGGGTTGTACAGTACATTATAAAATCAAAAGTTTTATATTAATATTATTTAATGGACCAGTGGTAGCATGAGCTAACAAATAACACTTGTATTTTTATTAACAAAGATGAATAAATACTGTGACAAATGTATTGCCCATTGTTAATGTTAGTTAACTTGCATTAACTAATGGGACCTTATTGTAAAGTGTTACCAATAAACAACCTAAAATATTACATAAAACACTAAATTGCATAACTGATCACAAAAAGTAATAAGAAACATAACTATTTAAGTAAAATGTAGTGAAAGCCAATGCATTAAAAGTATGTTTTTTGTATGTAAAAGCTAAAATAGTGCTTAAGGTTATCACATTTTTTGGTTATATAACTTACATTGAACTACATAACAGTTTTTTACTGTGGTATTTTATTCTTTTTTCATTAAAATAACATTATAATGTAACTTATGCAATTCAAACATGCCATGAAAACAAGGTATAGTTATTGAATATGTGAGTTTGATGTTTTAGTTTCATTGGGATGTGTAAATGTTGAGGAGGGGGCAGTAATTGACACAAAACAGCTTTTCAGCGTTGGCAAACAACAGCCAATCAATAATCAGAAACCTAGAATAGTCACAGCATGACCTACATATGGGCTCCCCCATCTATTAGGGAGTAGATAGAGATGGGAAATAAATCAATCGATGTATTGTCATCAAACAAGATTCAAATACTCAAAAACACATCAGTTATCAAAATGCCAATAATATTAAGAACAAGAAAAACCTGGACAGTAGATGTTACACTGTAGAAATCTAGAAATATGGAATGAAGAGCGCTTGTGATAATTATTACTATTCTGTTTTTGTGTTTTATTGTCAGTCTTCGAAAGGAACCTACAAGCCGTTTCTCCTCCTCCTGTATTATAATATTCTTCCACGGTCTTTTTATCCCAGCACCTTTCACTGTGACGCCAAACTGGAATGGGTGTGTCAGATTCCACGAGGTAAACAACACCCAACACTTTTAAGACCGCTTCCTGGCAAAGTGTAGATTATAGTTTTTGTTAATACTGCTAACATAGATTCTATATTGGCTTTGCAAATTTTTTATTTAAATTTGCAATGAAATGAGTTTGAAAAGTTCAGTCTCCTTCATTGTAATACTGTAAAAGTGTGACAAGTGCGTTCAGAATTGATATGTTCTAAGGAAAAGGCATCTGCATACAGGTTTGGAACAGTTTTTAACAAAAGCTTTTTTGTGATTTGCATAATTCTTTAGGTCAAACACCTAAAACTCCAGAGTGGTACAACCCAGGTAGTGCATTTATTTCACATTTTTTGTGTGGATTGTCTTTTTTTGTGTGTGCGGAGATCAGTGGCATATTTTGTTTCACTACTAACAGATGGGCACCATAACACATCAGTGTTTATAGACGGCCAGGAGTTCTGGTTTGTAACAGAGCCACAGCTGTCGTTTGATGAGGCCGTTTTGTACTGCAGCAGCAACAACAGCAAACTCGCCACACCCACCAGCTTTTCTGCTCTCCGCCTCCTTCAGGAACAACTTTTTCAGGTACAATACCAGAGAGGACAGATGTTTGAATTACAGGGCAGTTCAGGGTTGGACTGAGCCCTTAAAGGGACACTCCAGCCATTTGCATTAAAGGGTTAGTTCACCCAAAAATGAAAATTCTGTCAGTAGTTCCCTCAGGTTGTTCCAACCCCGTAAGACCTTCGTTCATCTTCGGAACACGAATTAAGATATTTTTGATGAAATCTGAGAGCTGGATCACTCCTGCATACTAGTTCATACTAGTTGAGGATTTGAAACTTGCCGGCCTCGAAAAGTTATTAAAGACATTGTTAAAATAGTCTGAGTGACTTCAGTGGCTCAATCTTAACTTTATCAAACGACGAAAACACTTTTTGTGCGCAAAAACAAACAAAAATAACGATATATCTGTAATGCATATCTGTAGCAACACGTAGCTATGGATGCATTTATTATTATTATATAGTGTACATAATTGGGTGATTTTTATATACTTAGTGTATCAAATTAGACAAATCAGTTTGTTTCTTTTTTTTAAGATGATTAGATTTTAACACAAGAAAGTAGAAAGTCTGTTGGGTAATGGATTAAATATGAGTGAATATGTGATTGTTCATATCAGCCAGTAATGAATTGAATTGTCATGACCTGTTGTAGCATGCAGGAAAAGAGTTTTTTAGGTGGTGGGCAGACCTGCGTTATCCTGGTCCTCATCTTCCCTTCATGTAAGTTGGCTAAGTTGATCCCTTAACTAAACCACAATTACAGGCATGAACCTCTCTTTTATTTATTTTTACCTAGAAGGTATCCTTTATTGTCTTTTTATATGTGTCTATTTTGTGTGCTTGCAGCCCCTTTCATCCAGCGTTCCTGGGCAGATGTCCTTCTCTCACTCCCATGTCTCTTGAACCCGGTATGAGAATCTTATTGTGATTCCTAAAGTAATTTTTAACATCTTATCTTGTAGAAGCTTGATGGGTTTTTCATTTGAAGATGTCTCATGGCTCATTTAAATGTCCTCCCTAGTTGTATAGCACAATAGTAAATGTCTGTGAATGTCGTACGACCCATAAATCACTTCTAGATTGGTCAGGCTAGTGATTCCTTTTTTTTCTCCTTTTTTTTTTAAATAGAGAGCCTAAGTCCCACCCCTCTCTGCTTATGGCTCATGGGACCTTATTTGGGTAAAAATATGTATGGTAGTCAATGGCGAGAGACAACTTATCTTTTTATTCCGTCTGAACTATGCCCTGAATTACACATATGATGTTTGTCAATTTAAAAGATAATTCTGAAAGTCAAAAATGTCGCAAAATCGTTTGTCATAAAACAGAAGAGTAACATTTAGTTTTATGTAAAAATCGCTCAATGAACTACATCTCCCGGTAAGCGAAACAACGAGCAAGATCCACTGCTCGTGTGTGTGCAGTCTGGTACAAAACACTCAGGTATGACGGCGTAACGTTACGATTATAACGTAAGACTAGAGAAACAATGACAGACGTTAGCCTCAGTAAAGTTAGCTTCATTCATTGAGAGAAAATGTGCGCCTTTGGGGTTTGTAGTCTTTGTAATTAACGTATTTTCACAGTCTTATACCTCAACGGTTTCACATCAAACTACGACTTTCTTTACTTCAAAATGTATCTTTTAAATTGACAAACATCATATGTGTAATTCAGGGCACAATTCAAACGAGATCAAAATATTTGTTGTCTCTCGCCATTGACAACCAAACAATATTTTTCCCAAAATAAGGTCCCATTATTTGATTAAGTGTAAATAACTTTGATTAAGTGTAAATAAATATTTATAGTAATTATTATTTTTCTTTCAGACACACTACTTCTACATGACCCCTCCCAAATGTTATTTATTAGTTCTATTAAATCATTTTATGGTCCGTTTTGTACAAGAAAAGCCAATAAAGCATTGTTTGATTGCTTTCATAACAGAGGATTAGAAAGACAAACTGAATTGTAAAAGATAAGAAAATTTTCTTAAATAATATCTCTCTGAACTGAAAGCAACGGTTATGATTTATGAAGCAACTCAGATGAACCTCTTTAATCTTTTTTTTCCCCCTGAAGGTTATACCAGAAGCTGTAATGAAAGACAGCCGTTTGTGTGCGAGACCCTAAATGTGACTTCTGCGGAGAAAGGAAGCCCAGAACCGCACCCACTCGGCACCCCATGTGGGGGAAACTCCCAGCACTTCAAAGACAAGGTCTGACATGCCAATCACATCCCTTGAAATTTGAAGATGTGTGTGTTTTTAATGCCATCATTGTATATGTGTGTTGCAGTGCTACTTTATTTTGTATGAGTCTTATTTCCATAACTTCAAAGATGCCAATGAGTTCTGTAAAAGACTGCAAGGCTCGATGCTCACTATATCTGACCAAGTTGAACAGGGTTTGTTTGGTTTTATATCATTAAAATCCACCGAGAACATATTTAAATATATTTAACACACTTAACAACTTTCCATCTTGCCTCCGTCTAGACTTCATCACTACAATGTTACCGCAGTTACTTGGGCAACCTCAGAAGGTCTGGATTGGTCTGAAGTTCAACCTGCATGACACTCAGTGGGTGGATAACTCGCCAGTTGAATATCTGAACTTCAATCCTCTCCTGCATGGCCAGTTACGACCCATATTCATCAATGCAAGTGTCCATCTGCTTTGAAAGTCTTACTGTAAATTATATTGTTGACCACAAAGATCTGGTCCAAAGAAATGGCTTCCTCATTTTATAAAAACAGGAAATATGTTTAGAATAGTGGAACAATGGAAACCTAGCTTCTTCTTTAAAGGTTAGTTTGCCCAAAAAATAAATTAATGTTTTAGCAAGGATGCATTATATTGATCAAAAGTGACATTAAAGGCATTTATAATGTTACAAAGATGTCTATTTTAAATGTTAAAAAATGATATTCATCAAAGAATTCTGAATTTATTTATTTTTACACAATCCACAAATTATTAAGAAGCACAACTGTTTTCAACATTGATAATTAGGGATGCACGATATATCGGCCACATTATCGGTATCGGCCGATATATGATCATTTTTAATGTTATCGTTATCGGCCCATTAAGAACATTTAGCCGATATCTAAAAGCCGATGAATTATGTATTATTTCTTTCAGCTGAGGCACTTTAGATGTGCACTGTTCAACGTGATGCTTTTGAATTGCTTGAAATATGATTGAAATCACTTTAAAAAAGGAAAATCCAGTTAAAGTGCAAAATGTGCTGCGCAAGTGTGTCATATCATTAAAATAAGAACATCATAATTGTGTTTGTATCTTGGCTTTCAATGAGGAAAATCGAAAATTGTCTAAAAATTGGGATTTAGATTTATCGGCCAAAATATCGGTTATCGGCTTTCAAATATAAAGAATTATCGGTTATCGGTATCGGCCAAAATTGTCATATCGGTGCATCCCTATTGATAATAATAAGAAATGTTTCTTGAGCAGCAAATCAACATATTAGAATGATTTCTTAAGGATCATGTGACACTGATGATGCTAAAATTCAGGAATGATGGTGGGAAGGAATGATGCTAAAATTCAGCTTTGTTACCATGGGAATAAATTACACTTTAGTGTATATTACTATAGAAAATGGTTATTTTAAATTGTAATAATTTTACTATTTTACTGTATTTTTGATCAAATACATGCAGCCTTGACTTATATTTCAAAAACATAAAAAAGTCCCTAGTCTTTAGAATGGGACTGTAAAAGCTACATAATATTGATTCATCACATTTGAATGGTATTCTGAAGTCATGCAATAACTTGAAAACAGAAAAATTGTTGTGATTTTTGAAGCCTGACACTGTATGGAAAAGAGCATCATGAACATTCCCCAAAACATCTCTTTATTTGCTTAATGGGTGAATGAAAAGTTTTCATTTTTATGTGAACTAGTCACTGCAATATGAAAAGTAGAGGAACGCATTTTGTTTTATTCATCTCCCATATGCCACGTCATGTATTCAGTTGGCTTTACTTTTAATATGATAAGCAAACATTTCATTCAGAATTTTGCTTCAAAACATTTCGAGGCCATAGAGTACTCACAATACATTTAATCTGACTTAATTTCACCTTTTCCTCTTGAATTGCTTGGCAGACGTTTGAACAAGACTCCCTGGAGCTCTGTGCCTACATGTACAATGATGATCATTCAGACATGATGGGCACCTGGGACTACACCTCCTGCTCTGACCGGCTGAATCTCAGCATCTGCCAGCATTATGCAGGTACGAGCCGCCAGCGACAGTCTCAGTCATCTGAATGTTAAATTAAATAGCGTTCTGTTGATTAACATCCAACTGACAATTTCCCCAGATAAACCGGAGGAACCTAAGCCTGAGGATAACTTCACCGTTCATAATCATACATTTAAGGTGGTACAGCAGGACAATTTAACATGGTCAGAGGCTCTTCTGGTGTGCCGGAACAACGATATGGACTTGGCCAGCATACCGAATGCATATGTCCAAGCAGTGCTTACAGTGCAAGTTTCTCGAAGAGGACAGCCACTCTGGATTGGACTCTTAAGTGAAGATGTGAGTGAAAATCACACACTCCCATACACTTCCGTTCAAAACTTTGGGGTCGGTACGATTTTTGAATGTTTTTGAAAGAAGTCTCTTCTCAGCAAGGCTACATTTATTTGATCGAAAATGCAGTAATATCTTGAAATATTATTACAATTTAAAATAACTATTTCTTTATATTTTACAATGTAATTTATTATTTTGATGGCAAAGCTGAATTTTCAGAATCCATTACTCTAGTCTTCAGTGTCACATGATCCTTCAGAAATCATTTGGACCATTAAAAAAATGACAAGTTATAGTGCTGCAGAGATATTAACCTGAATTAGCATGCTAATTTACTAGCCCCGGCCCACCAGGCGTCATAATACCAGTTTCGGCCATGGGAAGTGGTATGCGGGCGGGCAACATAACCACAAGTCAAACTGCAATACATGAATAACTCCCACGGCTTGTGGACGTACTTGAATCTGATGTCACTCGTGTGGAAAGTACAGCCCAATACTACATTTCAGTTCAGGGAAGAGTTAAAAAAATGATTGGTGGATATTATGCATGAGGAATACATTCTGGTAAGTTGTAACATACTTTATCTTTCAACAGTGTTCTTTTACCATTACGTGTTCTTTTACCATTATCTAGTAGAGATGATCGGTTCACATGCGCTGGGATCTGTCGTGTAACATTTACAAGCGCCAAAAGTGTATTTATTGTTTGAATTGAGTAATAAAATTGACAGAATCTGAAAGCTGAGATTTATTTATACATCATAACTAACCTGCAAACTGACTCTGTCAGTCTCCGTATCCTTTTCTGTGCGCAACATAATTGAAATGTGGCGTGATAGCGTGTGAAAAGTGTCAATTGCGTGTCTCACGGTGAATTCGTGGGAGTTGGCCGCTCTGAATGGCGCTAGCTTGGTCAACATTAGCGAATGCTGTCTGTCAAATTAATTCAAACTAATGATAAAAATGTAATATGAACAAAACAAATACCATAAAACTACAAATTATAGCCTGGGCTTTTATTTCCCCATATCGTCGAAATGCACCGGCTTGATACAGGCGTCTATAAGACGGCCTTTATAATTTAGTGTTGAGATGTTGTTCATTGAGTCTCTAATATCTAAAAATCTCCAAATGCTCCACGTGAAACTGCGGTCTTCCAACCTTTTACTATCGTGTCAAATGATTTGATTAATATCCGCGAGGGAGAGAGAGCAAAACAGTGTGACGACGTGAGAGTGCACGCGAGCGCGGCCGTGGCACAACTCACTTTCTGGAGGTATGCTGCCCCCATCTGGTATGGAATATGGAGTATGATTTGTTTGGTTTTTTTTGACAGATGGCACCTTTAAGAAACATTTCTCATTATTATCAATGTTGAACCGTTTTGTGAGTTAATATTGATATTATATAAAAAAATGTAAAAAAAAAAAACTTTTTTTTTACGGTAGTTTATTACATACTGGAACAGTTCAATGTCATGAATACCTTTGATTAATATTTGTTTTTTAACAAGGAAGGGGAGCACTACCACTGGACAGACCACAGCCACACTGAGTTCAACCGCTGGTCCTCTGAAGCCACTAAAGGGGCCTGTGTGTATCTGGACACTGATGGTTTCTGGAAGGCCACTGAATGTGAAGAAGAGCTTTCAGGAGTGATCTGCCACATCCCACACAGTGAGGATCAAAGCTAATTCAATTCATAAATGCTAACTGCTGACCTTATCTGATGATGTTGGCATTATTGGAACTGCTTTTCATTATTTACACACATATGTTTTGCTTTAAAATGCATTTTCCCATAACAGATAAGACCGTCACTCCTGAAGTGCATTCTGTCACATGTCCCCACAAAAGCAATGGACAGAGCTGGATAAGCTTTAAGAACAACTGCTACACGTTACTGCTGGGGTCCTCAAGGTGGGGCAACAACAACATCAGTGAACAGCAGATCTGCAAGACTCTTGGTACGGATGGTGCTTAATCGTATCTGGGACTTAAAATGGTAGATGAACTATTCTGCAAAACATTATGTTTACTTTTCTGCTGTGTTTTCAAAGTTGTATTGTATGCAGAAACAGAAAGTCTAATCAGCCGTGGTCAAAGCTGTTGTAAAATGCTTATACGTTAGACATAAATGCCCATGTTTAATGATTTCTAAGGAGCATTACATGAATCTCATGATGTTTAATGGTTATCCTTCTTGTATGTTTTAGCTGGGTATGGAGAAATCCTGACCATTCGTGATGAGGCCGAGAATGATTTTATCAGGATGCAATTGCAGCCGTTCAGAAACTTGGTTTCGTTTGTGTGGCTGGGAATAAACCAAAACAAGACCGGTAAGATGATCACTCGTCAAAGTTCAATCTTGTCAGTTGTGTTATCTTAATAGCCTATTATCAGACTAAACATTCACAATTTTTGTACTCTACACAACATTTTAACTGATTTTAAAACACTAAACTTGATACAGTACATTTTCTGACTTTATGAATGGTTAGAGAGAAAACACACTTCCAGACCTTCAAGTAATTCCAAATTCCTGCACAAACATGTGCCTTTTTGCTAGGAGACGAATGACAATTGAAAATAGTTTGTGTTCTAAATTCGAGTAAAATATCAAACTAAATCTCCTCTGGATGGAATCATTCTCCAAATCAAAAAAAAAATCTGAGCCCATCATACAATACACAATTTTCTTTAAAATGTGTCAACTCTGACAGGCTGCAGGCTAGCTCTGACTTTTGCTGACTAGCGTTGACTCCTCGAGACTGTTAACTAGTCATGCCAGCCTTTAAAGGGAAAGATGAGTAAGAAAGTATCAAATACGGTAGCTGTTAATTTTTGTTTTAGATGAGCAGCTGAAATGGCTTGATGGAAGCAATGTGCAGTTCTCCAACTGGAAATATGGTGAAAGACCAAACATCACAGAACCCTCAATGGCTGGCCTCAACGTGATTGGAGAGTGGGAAATAATAACCAACCAACATCTTTTCAATGCCTTCAAACAGCAAAGTATTGTGGTGTGCAAGATTGAAAATGGTAAAGCAACACCAATGAGTTTTCAACTTGTTTTACCCTTTATATACTGTACATAAAAGTATATTTTTACATAAATCTTTTTTTATTTAGGGTTAATCTGCAAAACGAGCAATTGACAAGCAATCCATCTATTAATCAACAATCAATAATAATCAATTATTATTTTCTATTTTTTATCATTAGTATGCATGCCTTTTTCAGGACCTCATATAAATGAAAAAACAACTAAAAAACAACGTGAAATAGAGAGCCAAATATTAGTTCATTTGTTATAAAGGTTATGCAACACTGCAGAATATTTAAAGACCTCATGAAACCATAGTAGTAATTTTGTAGCTTTATTCTAGTGGACTACTAAAAATGGACAAAACAAACTTTTGATGTTTGAAAAATGGTCGTGGACCTACCCTTACATCTATGCAAGATTCTTGATATAGCTTGTAAATTGTCAACTTACGAAGATGTATTTGACAGATCCCAAAGATGAATTCATGAAGGGTGTGGTTGAGGTTAATACTCCAGATGGTATAAGTTACCGTCGAGTGGCCAAGAAAATGGACTGGTATCAGGCACTGCAAGAGTGTGGCAGCAATGGAGGCCATCTTGCCAGCATTGGTGACAAAACGACTAACGACAACATGGCTCTGATCGCCAAAAGGGACGGCTTTTCACTGTGGATTGGCCTCTCCAAACAAGATGTACACAGTTTTTGTGATAATAGCAACAATTGACAGCACTGTGAGCTCTGAATTGTTATCATTCTGAATTTTTATGGCTTTTCCTCTAGGTAAGCGGATGGCCCTTTGAGTGGTCAGATGGGACCGCGGTAAAATTCCAGCCTGATGGATTTGTAGCTGATGGCCATGAATCAGAGGAAAAGTGTGTGTTTGTTGACTCCAAAGGCACCTGGTCATCTGTCAACTGCCATGCAGCCCAAGAAGGGGCCATCTGCTACAACAGCATCAATGAAAGTAAGACAAGCATCCAATAACACAACACAACACAAAGCAAAAGTTCAGTCTGAAACTGTTTTTTCTTTCGTTCTTTTTCTTTTCTTCCAGGAACTAGTGCACATCTCCTGTCTCAGTCCAGCAGTAGTTGTCCTAAGAGTGATAGTCAGACCTCTTGGGTCCTCTTTAAAGATTACTGTTATGCTTTCAACACGTACAACTACTCAGTCTTTACCATGGAGGATGCCAAGAACGTGTGTCAGAATCTGGGTGAGTATTCTGCTGGGTGTTTTGCAACTTTCACGTAGTTTCACATTCAGTTGGCAATTTTTTTTTTGGCTTTGTTAGAAAGGAAGCGACAACACGCATATGAATGACCAGTTTGTCTAGTTTTACAATGTACTTTTAATGTATGTTACCATGATAACAGACCAACATGATAAAACACGTTTAAATAACTTCATAAAGGTTTCTACCAGTGGTTTTACACACAAAATCTGCCCTTAAAGGGATATTCCACCGTTTTTTCATATTAAACTATGTTATTCCCTTAACTAAGTCGAGTTGATACATACCTCTGTTGTCAATTGCTCTGGCGCGCGAGACACTTTGATAGCCCTTAACTAGTCCAGTCATGTAAAATGGATAACTATATTGTATGGCGGAATAGCACAGCAAGTGCTTGGGAGCACTTCGACTCGGCGCAGTAATATCATCACTCGTGAAAAGTCCTCTTCCCCCTCTCACTCTCCGGAGTGATGATATTACTGCGCCGAGTCCATAGAAATATATGTGCCGAGTCACTTGCTGTGGTATTCCGCCATACAATATAGTTATCCACTTTACAACACGCTTAGAAAAGTGCAACGTTTTATTTTGTGTCACCGTCCTAGGTCGAGTTACATTACTCGTGTAACTGTATTTAAATAGGGAAAACGTGGAGGTGTTTGGTCGCTTCTCTGCTTGGCCCATATTGAATGAACTGGGCTAGTTGAGTGCTATCAAAGTGTCTCGTGAGACGACAGAGGTATGGATCAACCCGTCTTAGTTAAGGGAATAACAGAAAAAAATGGTGGAGTATCCCTTTAAAAGTTGCAATTTCAGCCAGCTCTTGCCATTTTTCTGTGCAATAGGCATCGGATGATGGGTGAACAGATTGGTTACATGACATAACATAACAAAACATACAACAACATAATCACTAATATCTGTACAAACCAACCTGAAAATAAACCTGAAAGTGTCTAACAACATCTTGCATTTTTCCTGTATAGATTCTTCGTCCAAGCTGTTAACCATCAAGAGTAAAGAGGAGAATGATTTTGTCTCCAACTATATGATTAACAACCCTTCCATCACCAGCAGAGTGTGGCTGGCGCTCAACTTTGACTCCAAAGGTAAACTAATGATTCATCTACCTTCAAGCTCACCATGTCCATTCTTAGGACTTTTTAAGAGAAATGTTTTCAAATGCGAAGAGATAATCTTTGTGGACTTATTTTAGCTCTGTAAATCTTTTTTTTTTCTTCTAAGGTAAGCCCAGTGGCTGGCAGGACGGCAGTGAACTGGACTTCTCCAGCTGGGATGAAAAATTAGGGCCGCAATTATCACAGGACACATCGGAGATCTGCGCAGTCATGGTCTCCAGCAAAGGCATCTGGACCCGAGCCAACTGCTTGTACAGTCGCAGCCGGCTCGTCTGCAAAGCACCTGCCTGTGAGTCCTCACAACTTCTCATCTAGAAAATGGCTCATAATATACATAAAATTAATAATATGCACTAAATATAAAATATAATAATATACAATAAAGTTAAGATAATATATTTTATGAATAATTCATAATTTTATTTATAATTATATATTATATATTTTATTTAAAAGATTTATTTTAATTATATATATATATATAGAGAGAGAGTTCAGATCCAAAAACCTCTAAGTGCCATTTGAAATTTTCTTCTAGAATGATCATTTTTATCAAGCTTGTATATTTAAGTTCAGTAATTTCACTTAAATGGGAATGAAAATTACCTATGAATTGTCATTTAAGTGAAATTACTGAACTTAAATATCCAAGCATGATAAAAATTATCATTCTAGAAGAAAATTTCAAATGGCACTTAGAGGCTTTTGCATCTGAACTCTTTATATATACATTCATTAACTGTATTATAAATATATTTTATTTTTGAAAGTAAAGTGGATAAAAAAAATTCTACACACCCATATTAAAACAGCTGTTTTTTGTGATGTAAAAAAATAACATCACATGCACTTTTGCACATTTAATGTAAAAATTAAAACCTATGCAATGCCACTGAAAAAAAAAACATTTAAGAGAAAACCGATAAAAATTAAATTAAAATAAAAAACTTAAAATGATTACATCATTTTTCTGAAGTGTGCAGACCTGTTTTTTTAAAAAAAATGGATATGTGGTTGTGTTCTTAACTAATCATCAAGCTCATGTGAAATATTGTACAAAATCTGATTATGTGAATCTGATTAAGTCCAAAAGGCTGCAACTAACAATTAATTTGATAATTGATTAATCTGTTGATTATGTCTCCGATTAATCGGATGAAAAAAGTAAATACTTTTTTAATCCATGATTTTAAACAATGTTATTCCACATCCTGCCCAAAGTTGTCCCCCAAACAATGTGTAATATAAAGGCATATTAAAAATCAAACTGTATCTAGGTAGGTTATGATGTAGCTTATAGGCAAAAAAGGGTTCAAATTCTAACATTACAATCGAAACCTAAAAACAAATGACTAAATTAAAAATAATAAATAAAAACAATATGATGTATGAGGAACACACATTTATTCACTGAACATAGTGATTACATGCATGGGCTATTCCATTTCCAACAATAGTGCCTTTACTGTTACTGCTCTCATAAATAATACTTGTGTATATTTTTAAACCTACTTCACTTATTTGACTGTTGATTGTTTTTCATCGATCGATGGTTTTCAGTGGCATTGCAAATAAAAAAAAAAGCATCATTATGGTATAACATGTTGTATATTGCATGTGCAGATCCAGGTAGCCCTGTGGCTTTGATCTTCTTCATCATTGTACTCCTCTGCATCATCGTCGCTGGCGTCTTCCTCCTATACCAGAAAAACAAGCATCGCTTCCATTCGACTGTCCGTTACCAGCGCAACTTTGATGACGCGGACAGTACGAGTATAATTAATAATGCAGAATAATGCCTCAAGTGAACGATGTCAAATTAAACGGTAGCTACGATGTGCCTTTTACTACAAACACTCTATGCCATCAACAGGAACACCCGCTTCAGTGGTTCAAACTAAGGTTATTTATTATCCACCTCACAGCATGGCTTAAACGGATGACTCGACAGTTTTTGTAAAGGAAAACAGGAGTGGTAATGTTTGAGGTTTTAATGTTTAAATTAAAATGTCTGGGTATATTTTAATAGGAGGACTGCTGGTACTTTCTGTACTATAAAAATTTGATTGTGTTACTTTGGCTTTTCTTGAAATTAAGTCATCAAAATCAGGGTTTTTCACTCCTCTTGAGCTGCACTGAATATTAACTTGCTCTTAGAGCTGGGAAGATTTTAAGATTTGTACATTTTGGAAGATTTTCCTCTTTTCTTTTTGAAGATGTTATTTTATCTGAGCGTCAAGGATCCCAAACCTAGTTATCGTTTTTCCTTTTTTTTTTTTCTAATTTGATTTCTGAAAGCCACTCTTTAAAATTGATAGATTTATTAGTCATCACTCAATAGAACATTCCTATCAAACTTGCCATAACAGTGTTTTGTTTTCCAACGATGATTACCATGTACTTCTCCTTGTATAATAGCTTGGTTTCTGTACAACAGCTTATAGTAACGCAGTGCACTGAGTGCAGTGCAAGATGCTAATGATACAATTACATTCAGAGATTATATCTATGCACTCTTTTGCTTAATTCACTCAAACTACTGAAATCTGATGCACTTTAATGAGCTTTTTGAATCGAACTATTAGTAAAGGAAGTAGTACATGCTTTGTAAATATTTTATTATATTTTTGTTGTTGCTGTTGATTGTTTGTTTGGGTTTTTTCTTTCTTTCTTTACTCCAAACTACACCAAAGATGATTGGGAATTGATGGTAATATATTGCAAACCCAAACGTGTTGACTAAAGCTGCTTTTGTAAAAAGATTTTTTAAGAGAATCTTTTGTGATCCTTGTCTTTTGATTTGAATACATATCAACTTTCCTCTGTTTTGACCACAGCAGAAGATGCTCAATAAAACTATGTACGTCTTCTAATAGTATGTCCTTTGTTGGTGAATGTTGGTTACACTTTATTTTGATGGTCCCCTTTATACATTCTGTGTGTTGACTGTATTAATGTTGCACCTACCCCAGACACATCTGGTATGCGTTGAATACACATGCACCAGATGTGGTCCGGATCTGGGTCGACACTGTTAGTTGCTTTCTGGGACATGTCTACTAATTCTAATTAGAGTGTTAGTAGACTGTTAGGGTTAGATGAATAAGTTGACATGTAGTTACACTCTAAAAAAAATTCTGGGTTATTTCAACCCAAATGTGGATCAAATATTGACAAACCCTAACCTGGCTAACGCCAGACCACGTATCATTGAGAAAGAGACGTGGTCTGGAAACCACATGTTCTTTTTCTCGTGTTTGAGGCGTGGTTTATGAATGCCCAGAGCCGTATTATTGGGTGCTACGAATGTCTATCAAATGCGCCTAGCCAATCGGTTCAATGATATCAGATGACGTATGTAGAGCGACAGAAAATTAGACGATGAAGAAGACAATGGGTCAGAGATTTATGTATACACAAAGGCTGTATCAAAAGGTAACTTCGCGTCCGCTGCCATGATGAATCCATAGATATAAACAAACTGCTTCGGTGTGTCGCATGTACGTCGTCATCGTCTTGCTGCTCCCTCCCCGTTCTGTGATTGGTTCCCTATCTCAGGCGAAAATGGGCTCTATGCACGGCGTTATTTCCGGTGAAGCATTAGGGATGCTCGATAACTTCCGCCGATCATAGAGTCCAATGCAATACCGAGAATTTATATTGAATTTTATACTCCATGGTTATACTAATGAAACGTTAGTCACAAAAACAGATAAAACAGACACCCCTCGTTGTGTTTATGCTTCTTTTTAAAATTATATTAAATAAACATAACTATATATAAAATTACATCTAAACGTATGTACGTTTCGTTTCAAAGACGGGAGGACAGTAAATATTGAAGACTCTGCCATAATCCCGTTTTCTCCGGTTTTCCTCCGCTTTAATCTACACAACCGGAAATGGACGAGCATCCTTACGTCAAATGCGGAACTTATGCGTGCATATAGCCCATTAGGTTCACGGTGTCTAGGCTGCATAGCAGCGTGAATAAAATTGAGCTGCGGCAGCATGGGGAAACCCAATTAGACTAACCCAGTAATTGGTTTAACATTTCAAATGACATTTTTAACCCAAAGTTGGGTTTGTCCACATTTTACCCCAAATTGGGTTAAAACAACCCAGCATTTTTTAGAGTGTACAAAGTTACGTATAGTCAGTAGAATGTCTTTTGGGGGAGCATCAATATAAAGTAAAACCGAAATGTTTTTGGGTCACTGTGTTAAATTAATTTATATTTTAGTTGCAAAGTTGCAGTATTCATTAGCTGGTTTAGCATTTATCCAGGCTGCCAAAAAGGCTGTATTTAATGCACATTGCACAAGCCATTCACACTATAGGAAACTAATTGTTGAGGGCAAATACTAAAGTGAAGAACAGATTACACAGATGTACTTAAGGTGGCTTGTATGTCTTTCTATTGTATGTCATTCATTCCGTCATTCATACTAAACTGAATGTTGTACAATTAAATTGCATTGTGTAGTGTATAGAAAAAGCATAATGTAGATAGGTAGGCAGGTGGCACACATCAAATGTACCTCCACATGAATGGCTGGACCCTGGGTTCATCCAGATCTGACGTTCATGGGCCCATTGGACACCGTTTAGACGGTTGACAGGGTTCATGGGCACTCTGATTGGTCTGACCAACGCATTCTCATCCTTTAGCGTCATATAAACGGTGCTATACTACGAACATGGCACGCGTTATCGTTAATATAACACGCGCTGTGATGGTTAGGTTTAGGTGTGGGATAGGGTAGGGTAGTCTCATATTACGCTAAAGGCGCCTTGGGTTTGCGTGACTATTAACGATAAAGGGTGCCATGTGCGTAGTATAGCGCCGTTTTGTCATATAGCGTTCTATGTGACGCTAAAGGATGAGAACGGGCTGGTCTGACGCTGCCACAAAAAAAAAAAAAAACATCATTAAGATTTTGATATGACTTGTGCCACATGTTGACCTTCTGTTGGGTCAAACCAGATGGGACACTCTGTCGCCGGTTTGTAGTTTTGCCCCTCCTCAGACCAACTGTTGGTAAATTCTCTCCACTGTTGACTGGGAGCAACACACAAGCCTTGTCATTTCAGAGATACTCTCACCCAGTCGGCTTGCCATAACAATTTGTGCCAAGTCAAAATTGCTCCGATCATTATTCCTGCATCCAACACAGTGAGAACAAGAACTGATTGTTTGCTTACCATCTAATCTACCCAGACCTTAAAGGGTTATTTCACCCAAAAATGAAAATTAAGTCATTAATTACTCACCGCCATGTTGTTCCAACCCCGTAAGACCTTCGTTCATCTTCGGAACACAAATGAAGATATTTTTGATTAAATTTGAGAGGTGGATCACTGCTACATAGGCTGCTTAAGGGAATGAAACTTGACTGCCCATAAAGTCATTGAAGAAAGTGTTTAAATATTCCATGTGACAACAGCGGCTCAAGTATAAGTTTATCAAGCGACGAGAATACTTTTTGTGCGGAAATAAAACAAAAATAACGACTTTATTCGACTATTCCTTTTCTTCCTTCTGGGCCTGAACCGAGAGTTCGAGAGATTTCCACGATGCAATAAAGTCGTTATTTTTTTTATTTATTTATTTTTTTTCCCCACAAAAAGTATTCTCGTCGCTTAATAAACTTATAGTTGAGTTTAAACATTTTCTTCATTGACTTTCTGGGTAGTCAAGTTTCATTCCCTTAGGCAGCCTATGTAGCAGTGATCCACCTCTCAAATTTAATCAAAAATATCTTCATTTGTGTTCCGAAGACGAACAAAGGTCTTACGGGGTTGGTACAGCATGGGGGTGAGTAAATAATGACTTAATTTTCATTTTTGGGTGAACTAACCCTTTAATTCGTGGCCTTGTTAGGAAATGATCAATGATATTCGCTTTACCATTGACTGGCCATAATGTTTTGGCTCATCATTATTCTGAATTATTTATTTTTTTCTGGTCTTGGTCTACGTCTTACAGGGGTTTGACAGGCACCATTAATTAGTTAATGTCGTATGTAGCAGTACTGTAACTGCAGGGTGTTATTTACAATCTCTCTCTCTGTTTTATCTCCTGTTAAAAATAGATTTCGGCAACTGTAGCCCAGTAAGAGGGAGGGTAGATTAAACCCCTAAAAAGGGTCTCCCAAGATGCCGACTTAAGCATCATTTTGGAAATCACTTAAAATTTCAAAACTGATAAGAAACTGCCTTGTCATCAACCCAGGGCTTTTTGAATATTTACAAACCCTTTCAGAATTGTGCAGAGGGCTAAAAGATCCTTATTTTGAACAGAACTTAAACCCAAAGTTGCCACGAATTTGCTTCTCTCCTTTAGAAGTTAGTGAGGATGTACACTTGCTTACAACGTCCCAGTGCCGATCCCTCTGAGGTTGTGATTCCAGGTAAAATCCTTTCTTACCCTATTTGTATGTTTCAAGAATCATCAGATAAGTTAAAAAGAAACAAATGAACATTTACCCCTGATAAACTAAATCTGTTGCCTTGTCCTCTTTCAGTCGGTAAAATGGTCTAAAAATTGAGGTAAATGCTATATATAGTCTTAAGAGTATCCTTACATGGGGTGGCTGAGTGAAGGCATTCCCTAAGTGAGCGCATTATTTTTGTTCCATCAGCAGGAGCTTTCCGACTGCTCTCAGGCTGCTCTTCCAACACTCAAAGCTCTTCTTTTCTCTTGGGGTAAGTGCAGCTTTATTTTATTAATCTGTTAACAGATATGTATTGGGACACGTACGTTGTCCAGGTGTGTTTCACATATTGAATATTGTTATAAGATGTTATTGAATACTTGGGGGTGGAAAGACTGTGTGTGACATTATTCTAGACTTAAGATCATTACCCAAACATCTGTGGTCACTTTTGATTCTTCCATCTTTAATATTTATTTTAGTGAGGGGGGGAAATGGTATTACTTTCATAGTTTGAGCTCTAATTTTGAAGAGTTGTAAAGCAGAAGTATACACAAATCCTTAATTTGTTTAAATATCTGTTTGATTCCACATGAAACATAGTCGCCATAGTCATATTATGTGCAGGTCAAAGGTCAAATCGTAGGGATTTTGCTCAAATTCTTGCTCTGACTTGGATTCTGAGATGTGTGTGTTTGTGTCCATAAGTTGTGCCAGTTATTCTTGGGTCAGCTTTTCACTTTCTGCCTGTAATGTGATGCATTTGAGCTCATGGGTGTTGCTGATGGGCTGGAATGTGGGTACAGGCGGTTTTGGTGCTAGTTTACAATAACCAGTACACTGTAGTAAAAAAAACAACAACAAAGAATTAAAAAGTTGGTTTCTGCAATACCTTAATTTTTTTTTTAAGTACTAAAAATTTGGATGTTTAAGTAATTTCAACTTAAATTAATTGAGTTGAATCTATACATTTGTTGATCTGTAACTAAAAATTGTAAATTGATTAACTTATTTTGATAAAAACTCATTGTCATAACTTATTGATCTCATAATTAGATAAAAGCTGAAGTAAAAAATAAACAAGGAATATAAAGTTTGATATACAGTTTATATAGTGATTTATTTTGGGCTGGCAATTCGGTTTTGGTTCTATCTTTGTTTATAGGGTTATTTCCCTTATTACTTTATTATTATAGTATGTAGGTCAGAATCATTTGAATGATCAAATCAATTTGTATTCATCTGTTTATTACATACACTCATAAAAAAAAATCCCCCAATTTTTTTTTTTGAAGCTATGCCAAATAAAATTCAATAAACAGTTCCTTAAAGACATTTTTTGTTGTTATGTGAAAAACTTTTTAATATCTAAAGAACATTTTTGTCCAATTTTGTCCAATGGAAAGGTTTTTTGGATGTTCCCATGCCAATGTCAATGTAT